TTCAGCTCAGCAACACCTCAGTCTTTCCCATCGTTGCAGGTTTGCGAAGATAAACAGTCACTTTACAGGCCAGGCGTTGCCACTTCCTTTCTGAGCCTCCCTTCCACTACTATTTTCCCTCTGGTTCCCTCTCTTCTTTTCCAGCCTGTGCACCAGCCTCACTTTCTCTGCTGACGGCTGGCCCTGAATTTGTGTCTTACCTCCGTTCTGGCACTTCTCCTGGGCTCTGGGTGCTATGCCCCGGGAGCCGCCTCTTTCCTCTCCCCTCAGATTCCCTCAGGCCTGTGCCACTCATCTGTCCCCTGACACTCCGCTCTGTGCAGGGTGTCCTCCCTGTGCCCAGGCTGAGCAATGACATTCCCTTCAAGTCTTCACGATTAGTGCTGGCAGTTTTCAAAGCAGTTAAAACCCTCTGACCACACCATCAACACTTAGACATCTCAACTCCTGTCTGGGGCTCTTCTCCAAACTGCCAGTTCTCTTTTGGGAGAGGACACTTTGTCACGGATTGTTTTCTACGGTTCTCTGAAGAATAGAGAGAGGGCTGTCCACTACACTCTGAAAATCAAGTTCCCCCATGAGCCAGAGCCCAGATGTCTGTCCAGCCTCCCCTAGAACGGGAAACGCCCGGAGGAGCCCCCTGGGGACCCACGGGGGCTGCAAAGCTGGTGCTCTGCGAGGCCCGGAATTGCTCAGATGTGGAGATTTTATGCAACACCCATTCCAGAGGCAGCCAAGCTGAAGAAACTACAGGGCGGGGCATAAAAATAAACCCAGCGAATTAAAAATAAAGAGAAACCCATGCTCAGAGGCGAATCTTCATTCTTTCCACCCCTTCTGAGGGCAGATGGGAGGATGGCTTTGGGCCCGGAGCAGCCCAGCTGGTGTCGCAGAAGGAACCAAACAAGGATCATCTCAAGTATTAACATGTCTATGGGTGGAAGCAAAAACACAGGACATTTTAGGTGTGTTCACAGAGCAGAAGGAAGTCATTCTCCTGCCCAACACCAAATTTTAATGGGGACATTCCACCACTTGCCTTGGAATCCCATTCAGTGTTTAATAATTCTGTCAATAAAGCCTTCCTAAAAGCTCATCTAAACTCTTCATGCCGTAGTTCAAGCCATTTCATCTTGTCTGTGCTCGTGATAAGAGGAGGCACCGTTTGCTATGTAATCTATTGTAATGCAATGTACATAATAAAATCCACCATCATTATTCCCCTCTTTTCCAAGGCAAAAGGACCTACTGGCCACCACTGGCCAGACTTTGTCCTTGTCTCAGCCGCCCTGTGTTGACTTAGGGCTGCCATCAGCCTGCTCACAGGGAGACCTCCCTCACCTGTACCTGCTGTCTCCTCCTGACCCTCTTCCCTCTGCCACATTTAATCAGAACGTCTCTAGGGGAGGAAGGTCTCTCTGAAATAATAAACATCACCACAAAACATAAAACATGGGCGTGATGATTATTTCTAAGACTGCCTGCTCCTGGTTTTCTGACTATGTCACCCAAGACACGCTATAAGTGAGGCTTATCAAATGACCAGCCTCACTTTAACTCTCTCCTTGTCATTAGTTAACTCCTCAGTGAATTAATTTCTTGTCAGTCGTGGAGATCAATTCTGGATCATTTCTCTCCCCTTCTGTTTACCTGGAAAGAATATTTCAAAATCACATTGTAGAAGCCTCTTGGGAAGCCTCATCTTTATTTTACAGTTACTAGTTAGAGTGATTTGAGCAACCATAAATGAAAAGGTTCCCAAGTTGGCAGCTGAATGGGAACTTTTCTTGTTTTAGACACCAACATTTTACTGGAAACCTCTGCATTGTCTGTCAGGAAAGTAACCAAACCTAAAATTCCCACAGAGACAATGGCCTCTATATTCGTGATGACATAGCCCAGAGAGGAAGGATAGCCGATTTGCCATCATTATTGGGTCTCAATCTTGTTTCCTGTCATCAACCCTGTCATATCTGACTCTTCAGTCCTACCTAGTTCCCCATCACTCCCCTGAAGACCCTTTCACAGTCCTACACCTTTGCAATGCCTGGAAAGCATTCCCATCCACCATGCCCCACTCTCTCCCTCTTCTAAACTCCCATTCATGCTCCAAACACCAACACAAATGTCACCTTCCCAGCAAAGCTGCCTCAACATTCCTTCTCAGCAGAACTAGGTTCTCTAGGGTCCTACAGCCCACTTTGCTCCAGCCTCTGAAATAAAGCCATCCTGGTTGCATGGCTCTCCCATTGGACCATGGAGCCCACAGCAGTAGAGACCTTTCCTAGTCCTCTGAGCATCTCAGCGTCCAGCATAGGGCCTGCAACAAAGCAGTGCTCACACCTGGTTTTTGAGGTTTGGGGAAGCTTGATCTGAAATTCAAGGGGTCACTGAGGCCAACATGGATTTTTTTTTTTTTTTTGCCACAAGATAAAGCTCTTTGGCCTTGGACAAGCATCTTTTGATGAATGGAGAGACTGACCCATAGCACAAAAATGCAATATGGACCCTCCATCACCACCCATCCACTGGGGACTTCCGTCTTTCTGTAGCCTAGAATCCTTCTCAGCTTACCCACCTCCACCCAGCAGTCTACAATAACTCCCACTGGACAGGAGGGTCAGCGACCAACCTCTCATTTGCCATGGGGATCACGCAGCAGTGATGGTTACCTCTGGCCTCCAACATCCTTGGTCCAGTGCAGATCTGGAAATTCCAGCAGCCCTGGCAACTCATCGGTGTTAGAAGAACCAATGAACAATCATAGCATTGAGCTAATTTTTTTTAATTTTTCACAAAGAGCTCTAGAAGGCAAGTAGTTTATCACTTCCCCACCCTGAAACGACACAGCATGACAGACAGTGTAGGGTGCCGGGATGCTGGCTCTTTATTGTTTTCCAGAGTTCCTGCATCAGGACCCAGTGAACCCTAAAGCAAGGCTTGGGCAGTGTGTCCTCTGCAAATTGTAGATGCTCAGTCCACACTCAGCAGCACCAGCACTGCTGAAGTTGGGGTCGTCTGTCTAGAAGATCCCACCTTGGATCCCAAGATCCAGACACGGATCCAGATGGGGAATCCAGACAAGGTTTAACTTCCAGAGGCAGAGAGCAGGTGCCATGGTCAGAGGCAAAGGCCTCTGACACTGCAAAGGTCAAACGTCTTGACTGAAGACCAGAGGGGAGCCAGGAAGAATAACGAAGTAAGGAAGCCTTGGATTGCTAAAGAGACGACTTTTTAAAGAAATGCTAGGTCCACAGTTCACAATGTTCACAACAAAAGAACACTGCTTAGGATTCTAGACCTCAGCCGGGAGAAGCAATGGCTGGGCTAACAGAGCCAGAACTTTATTCACAGTAGAACAGTCCTAACCTAAAATTCTAGAATTTAAGAACAATGTCTTTTAAGAATGAGAATTCATAACCCCACCAGACCAGCTGACAGGGAAAAAGGAAACAAAATGTTCTCTTTTAAAGAAAACCACACAAAAATCAACTCAGTCTTCCTTTACTCCCAGTACCCCAGTCACCTCCCACCCTATTAAAAAAAAAATCATGAAAGTCACACACACTTGCACACACTTAAATATGCGAACGAGACACAAAATATCCAAGGAAACCTTAGGGATCACCTAAGGATTTTTCACTAGCTCCCGGATGCTCTTTCTGGTTTTCTAGAAAAAAAAAGAGTCAAGCTCTGACAGCTATGTCTAAGCAATAAAAATTGGAGTTGGCTGAGATCCCTTTCCTCAGTCTCCTAGCTTATAAGTCAAGGTAGAAGAATACTAACAATAAGTCAATAAGGAAGGCTGAGGCTGGTGTTCTGTGGAAGGCAAGCTGCCTTGTTCTACAGCCTGGGGCCCTCACCGGTGAGCAACCCCGCCCATGGGCTCTGCTCCACAGCATGAAGCTCAGGTTGTTGGGTCTACAGAGCCTGACATCAAGGACATCGAGGAAGGAGTGTGTGTGGACAGGATGCTGGAGAGGGTATTTCTGGAGGCAAAGTGTTACTGCTTGCGGGCATGAGAACATAAACCTGAAGCAAACCATCATGAGATATCCAAGGATCACAGATTGTGGAGTTGGAAGAGATGATGTCGCCCAACTCTGCATTTCACATAAAATCAATCTGGGAAGAAAGCAGAGAGGTTGTCGGACCAGGATCCTGATTCCAAGAGCTTCCCTGGTTATTGGCCTAAATCAGTTGATCAGTCCACTATTTCTGACCAAGGTCTCTCACCTGAAATGGAGAGTCACTTGTTTCCAGATGGTTAGAATCTCCCACTCAACAGGCCTCCCTGCAAAAGTCAGGCTGGGAAATGCTGGAGAACCGGATTGTTGAACCTGTGTCTACACTGACCACTCCTCAGGGTGCAACGAAGGCTTGAAACATCTGTGTCTCTGCCTTATCCTACAGACATTTCCCCCACATTTTGTAAAATAAATAACTCAAAATAGAATGAAAAACCCAGGCAAGTATAGTTGCTGGCCTGAAAAAGTGCTCTGCCTCTTAACAGTGACTCATAAAACTCACACCTGCACTTCATCCCCAGGCTTGGGGTTGAGGGAGAGTCTGACGTCCTGCAGAGGCAGCGAACCCCCAGGACACCAATTACACACCAGCCCTAACCCCTTATATATTAAATTTATCTTCATAAATAGAGCATCCTAACTCAAGTGACCACAATAAAAAAAGGCCAAAGTTTGAGTTCTTTTTTCCTCAAATATCTATACAAACCCTCAAACAGCTAGTAAACTATATCCACGTGGCAAACTGGACGCCTCTTTATGAGAGCTTCTTGCCACGATAGTCAAAGGCCAAGTCTCAGACAGACCCAAACACCCATCCCTCTTGGATAACAAGGACAAAGATGAAAAGCTCACTTTGCAACAAGGCTCATGACAGAAGGCCTTTAAATAAAAAGCCCAATTAGTTTGATTTTAAATGATTTGATTTTCTCCCAAACTTGTAGATACATAAGTTTTCAAGGTCACATCTATGACATAAAATAGGCCCACTAGACCAATAGATGTGGTCAGCTGGCATGGCTATCTTGCGGACGCATTTATTGATGTGACAGCATGCTGATCACCTATCTCTTAGAAGAGACTCTGAACCATATTATTCAACCTTCATGTGGGAACTAGTATCATCCGAGTAATGAGATGCAGGACTAGGTGTCTGGATTGGAGCTTATCATAATGGTTGCCATAAAGCCTATCTTCTAGCCATCCCAGAAAACGTGGGTTTAGTTTCCCTATTCTCCGCCCCTCTCAAGAATATATTAACTTTGATCAATCGCATTAGACCACTTTGGTTGGATGACTGTGACCACAAAAATAAACCAGAACAAACAGATGAATAGCCCATTAGAAAAACCAAAGGATGATGACCCCCTGTCAAGCCTTCATAGCTCATCCCTCGAAGGCACGGCGTCTACGGAGGTTGGCGGCGGCAGGGCTTCTGTGTTCTTGGCATTGCGGTGGATGCGACCTTGCTTCCGGGACTTCCAGGAATGTGTCCTGTCCCAGTCAGTGGCCACTGTCTCATTGTCCCAAATGGTCGAGGTCTCCGTGTCACTCAGATACCCGGGCTGGCCTGTGTAGTGTGTGGGGTAGATAAGCAAGGGTTCTGCAGAGAAGGCTTTCAAGTCCCTGGATTCGTAATGCTCCTTGTACTCAGCTCTGAAAAGAAGAGGTGTACAGGCGTGAGGGGGCAGGCACTTACAGAACAGGGGAAGAGCCGAGGGGCCCTGCTTGTTAGCTCCTAAATTGTTACAGACTCATTTGATTATTTTTTGAGTTGTATCCTTTGTGGAAAACTTTTGTCTAGAAACACAATAAAGGTTTCTTTAAAAGCTTTCAGATGATCTAAGCAAATACACAAAGAAAAAGGTCAGGGTATTTCTATTGTATTTGGATAGACTAGTTTATCTTTTTTTCTTTTTTTTTTTTTTTTGTGAGGAAGATCAGCCCTGAGCTAATATCCATGCTGATCTTCCTCCACTTTATGTGGGACGCCGCCACAGCATGGCCTAGACAAGCGGTGCCTCGGTGCGCGCTGGGGATCCGAACCTGGGCCGCCAGCAGCGGAGCACGTGCACTTAACTGCTACGCCATGGGGCCAGCCCCTGGATAGACTAGTTTAAAAAAAGAATTTCAAGTCTTACTCTAAAAGTTAAGAATTAAGCTCTGTTGGGCCATAATGATAAATAAATGTGATCACTTTTTAGAAAAATGCCCTGTTCCTGGATTAGTAAATTAGACAGCTGAGATCTGGACGGCAGTGATGGGGCCAATGAAATGGTGTAGGCTTGGAGGCATGCCAACTCCACCATCCAGCCTAGGGTTACGGTTAGGCTTAGGGTTAACTCCAGCTCTCTCTGAATGTAAAGTAGAGGGATAACTTGCCCTCCCTCCCAGGGCTCCTGTACAGCTTATATGAGGTGACATCCGCTTGGCTTCTGGATCAGTGAGTGCACCATAGGTGTTAATTTCCTTTCTGTTAAGGGGTTGACAGTTGACCTCCACGTTTGTGCCAGGACACAGAAAGAAAGTCAGTCTCTGACATGTTGTATAAAAGAGGATGAGGCGCTCCATCTTTACTGAGGACAGGAGACAAAATGAGCAACATGCAGAACAGGAACTCTCAACCACTAAAATGAAGACCATCTAGTGAGGAGGTCACCCAGCAACTGAGAGATGGAGCTGAGGTTAGAACCTGGTCTTCTGCTCCATTAATGAATTTAGGAATCATCACTTGAGTAGATCAATGTGTGGAGTTTGGATTAGGATCTAAAGACACAGAGATGTAAGACTGTTCCTGCCTCAGGGGCTCACAGGTTATTGGGGAGACTGACAGGTAAACCATCAACTGCCACATGCTTTGATAAGTGCTCAATCAGCGTGAACTCCTGGGCTATGGGAACCCTGAGCACTCTGCCTTCCTCCGTGCATACTCCGCTCAGAGGCCATCTCCACTCTCCCTGAGCCTCCAACACATCTCTGTGATCGCAGGTATCACCATATATCACAATGATATTCATGGGGTTGGGTTCCCAATTAGATTGTGAACCACTGCCTGGCCAACAGTACACAAAATGGACTGAGACATGAACTGACAAATTTGAGGTGCTTAAGAAGATGACCTCCACTTTTGAGGTGTAGGAATTTATGGAAGTAAGAAGATCAAAGACAAGGAGAGGACTGAGCAGATTATGTCCAGTTAAACCACACATTGGGTATTAAAGAGGACCCCTATGCAAGACTGACCATTTCTGCCTCACCTTCCTCATCTGTAAAACGGGAGAATCACTCAAGTCAGCCTCTCTAGGTCATGATTATGGAAAGACCATTTAGGAATGCAGTACACCTTTAAAACATATCAAATACTACCCAGAAACTGAGTAGCAGAATTCACGAACAGGCTGTGCCCAAGGACAGGCAGGGTGACTGTTCAGGGTGACTCACACAGGATGTTTGTTGTACATGATGGGCAGAAACTCGTCCACTGGCAGCATCTTCCCAAAGGGATTGGCTCCAACCAGCTTCTGTGCTCCCTCCAGAGAGATGACGTAGCCCAGCGTCCAGTAGGAATAGTCAGCTTCAACCAGATTTAGCACATTGGGCACTGCTTTCTCTGGTTCTTTTACTTGCATCCTCTTCCTACCAATATAACTAAAAGGAAATGGGTGGAGGAAAAAATTCCAATTGGAATATTAGACATCCAAAAGAATGGAGCACAGCTTTGCAGACATTTTTGGAAACTTGGACCAACTGTGTCTTAGATTAAATGCATCACAGCACAAAGAGCATCACATCGCCAACCATGACTGTCATCCGCCATCAATGGGGCTACTTCCCTGCCTCTATTTATCAACATCCCAACTGTTCTTGCCTAGCAGACTGTGTTCAAGCCTGAAAGTTAAGATGCAGAGAGATTAAAAGATCTTTCAGATCATTTCCCAAAGATGGCATGGGATTTCCAGCTGTGTTTACAGAGGTTGGAAGGGGACAAAAAAGGCCAATGTGAGAATCCCGAGTTTGTTGTTTTCAGGTCCCCAGAGTTTCAGCCTTCGATGTTCTCTGCACAGCTCTCCAAATGCTGGTGGTAAATACAGGACAGAAAAGGCTGTGGGAAAGAAACAGTGTGCAGTAAAAGACCTAGGAACCCAAGAGAGGCCCAAGGGAGTTCTTCCTGGGGAGAATGAATGACAACGCCTGCGTGGCTCTCTCCCCCTCACACTCACCTAGCTCTGCCCACACTTCCTCCTGGGCACTCTGTTCCAAGAAAGGCACCCAGGCACATCCTGTCCTCCATGAACAACTTCTGCAACACAAGATGTACCCTAGCTATCCCGGCCTTCTCATGGTCTACTCATGGATCTGTGATCCATTCCTTTTGTCTGGAACCTGTTTGTTTTCCACTTACCCAGAGCAAGTTGAGGAGGTGCCTGCTTCCTTCCTGCCAGGTAAAGCCATTTCCTCTATTTTGCCCTAAAACTATCTCTTCAACATTCAAGGGATTCCTCTTATCAAAGCATCCCAGGATTCGTAGAACAATTCTCTGTTCACCTTCAGTTCTTCTGAGGACATCAAACGTGTATCCTCTCAGCCACTGTCTCTCAGACTAGAATCTGAATTTCTCTCATGTATCCTCAAGTGGTAGAGAAACTCCTATTTGGCCTATGACTTGTGGCTAGAGTGACAGTGGAATGAAGTTTGCACTCAATTTATTAATTTGACATAATTTAACTTAAATTTTAAAATTGAAGTTGTGTAAAATATTTTTCCTGTTAAAATTTATTGTTTTGGTAGGACTACAGTTTACTTCAGCAGTTGAAAATTTAGCATCTGGATTGAGATGTTGTAACACACTGGATTTTGAAGACGATACGAAAAAAGAATGTAGACTATCTCATTAATAGTTTTTAAATACTGATTACATGTTAAAATAATAATATTTGGCTATGTTGGGTTAAATAAAACATATTTTTAAAGTTAATTTCAAGTAATTTATTTTTATTTTTTTAATGTGATTACTAGACAATTTTAAATGATATGCGTGATTCATGTTATATTTCTATTGGACAGCATTGCCCTAGATGATTCCAATGGCTTGTTCTAGATTCTTCCCATTTACTATTTCCTTTTTCTGGAGAAATTTAATACAGTAGCCATGGATAGCTTATCAGCTTTCATGTTTTGAGTCTAAGTAACACTTGTTTCTTATTCATTTTAGAAAGTGAGAGGTGAAAAATTTGAGACCACTATAATTCTTTAAGATTATATAATAGATTTCAATGGAATATTTTGACTTGATCAGTCTGTGAAATTTAGAAAACATCTTTTTTCCCCTGTATCCTTATCAGGACAATCATTCTTCTGTCTTGAATCTGTTAGTACTTTGTCCCGTGAAATGCACCAACCAAACTACAAGCAGACAGAGACATAGGCCACTTCTAACCCACAGGCTCCCTGAGTCGAGTCCTCTGTGGTTCCGAGGCTTAAGCGAAAGTTGCCTTTGCACATGTCATGTGAGCATAAAATAGCTTCCAAGCTCTATGCCTGTGAGGCTTAACCACACGCCGCAGAGCCACAGATTCAGAGAGGCAGAGGTTCGGAGACTTCTGGAGGATTATAGAAACAATGATGTTCAGGTACTGTACAGAATCTAATCACATGACTGACATCTATCTGACAAGGAGCCAGTGCTTATATTACATTCATTATTCCTATTTCTCTTTTTATTACATAGTACTGATATCTGGGTCCATTTCCCAGGGGTTAGTTGAGCCATTACTAGGTTTCTTTTGAGCTCAGGAGGTACATTTCTGAGAGAATAAGTATCCCACCTGGACCAGGAGGTAAGGTCCCCTCCGAGGAGGGGAGGAGTGGGGGCAGCTTGTCTGCTGCAGCTGCCCCAAAGGAACAGGCTCTGATTTGATGGAAGTGCCTTTGACACACAGCTGGGGAGGAGCATAAGGCTTGGGAACTTTAGCCCCACTGAAGAGAAGTAAAAAGTGTCTTTTTGGTTTAAAAAGAAAATGAGAGAAAAAGGGAGAGGGAGAAAGCAACAGAGAGACTGGGAGAGAGAGAACTCAATTCCCAGAGGCAGCAGACAAGCGGCATTAACTAAATGTCAGTGCAGAGCCAGCGCTCCCTTGGCGAGCCTGGTTCTCCTGCGACAGCCTCTGACCCCCACACCAAACCAGCTGTGTTCTCCCTGTTTGCACAGCTTCTCTTCCCAACCGAGGAGCTCTCCCACTGACCTTCCAACCTCCCACACCATCAGGGCCTGCAGAGGGAACCTGCTCTCCTGGGAGCTGAGGCTCAAGTGTGACACAGGACTCTTGCCCTGGAATAAATGACACCTCCTCTCTCTTCACGCCCCCTCCATGTACCATGTTGCTTCATGGGTGGGATTTCTACTGTGCTCCTAAGTGAGTGCTCAGTCTGAAGGCCCCTGATCTACAGGCAGTCTCCAGGTGTCATACAGAACCTCCCATAGTTTCTTTCTCACACTGCAGAGTATATAGATGCAAACCCCAGTGGCTATCCTCTACTCACTTTTTGTTTCTGGGAACATTTATGGAGAGAAAACCAGGTAAATGGAAGTTTGAGCTGTATCTCCTACCAGCTGGGGAGGTGGGGCTTGCTGCCCCTTGGGAAGGACTGAGTGCCTCTCAGCACTCTCTGATAAGCCTGTCTTGTCACTCACATCAGTTCCCAATCCAGCTGAGCCCGGTCAATGTCATCCATCAGCTTCATCAACTTCTTCTTAAACTGATGTTCAAAACGCACATCATCCTCAATAACAAGAGTCTTCTCCAGCTCTCGGTCAATTACCTGTGAAGGTCATCAGTGGGAAGACACCCTATGAAAAGTTCTATAGCTATTTTTTATTCGATAAGTAAGTATTAAAAAGTCAAGGGTAAACCAGCACAATATATCACAGCTCATAACTGGAATCTAAGCAAATGCCCATCAACAGTGGAATGGATAAATAAACTGTGGTATATTTACAGCAATGAGAATGTATGATCTACAATTAAACGCAATGGTATAGATGAATCTCATAAATATAATGTTGAGAGACTGGACATACCATATGGTTCCGTTCATATAAAAAAAAGTACAAAAGTAGACAAAACTATGCTGTGCTGTTAGAAGTCAGGATGGTGATTACCCTTGGGGACTGGTGACTAGAAGGAAATACAGACGGGGTGCTTCTAGGGTGCTGGTAACCAGTTTCTTGACGTGGGTGCTGGTTAACACGGGTGTATTGTTCAGTTTGTGAAACTTCATTGGCCCGTATTTTATGATTTACATACTTTTATACATATCTATTACATTTCATTTAAAGTTGAAAGAAAAAAACGATAGGCATAGGCTGGATCATTCAAAGAGAAAGGGCATTCAAGGGGCCCTCCTTAGGGACTTTCTCTTTTCTTGTGGGAACTGACCCTTAATCAAGAACCCCACACTCCAATACCACCCCCATTAATATCTGATCTGTAAGACATGGGTTCAAGTCCTGGCTCTACCACTTCTCGCCTGGACAAGATATTTAGCTATTTCCTCTTGGGTAAAATGGCCCCATCCCTCCTGACCCACCTCATATGACTTCTGTGTGACTTCTTGTATGAAATCAGTTAACAAGTGATGATATGCTAGATGCATACAAGGCATTCCTACTAAGGATGTGAAGGCATCAAGAGGAGTGTAGCCCCCAGAACACGAGTATCTTCCCCTTATCCTTACCCCAAGTAGCATCAAGGCTATCCCTCCTCGTGTGTGGCTGGCCTTGTGTCAGAGGGAGACAGCAGGCAACAGCAACTTCCAAGCATACTTCTAGAACAGTTATGGGTTCACTTTGTACTGGGCCCTAATTCACCAACAAAGTCCCCCTCTCCTTCCTCCTCATTACAAAACTGCACATCTAAATACAGCATTATTTACCTCTTTCCAGACAGAGTGGTGACTAAGAAAGCAGCCGATTTCACCTCTGGTTAGAGGCCTGGAGGAGTAGGGATCTCGATACCCAGGCAGCATTTCAATATTCAGGGCCTTCAGCTGGCTTGTGTTGAGTGCCCTGCACGACAGAGAACAACAAGTTGAGACGTCCCCACCACAGAAGCCAGAAAGAGAGAGTTCTGCCTACTCCCCAGAGCCTTTCTGCACACTGAGAAAGACTGCTCCGCTTTCCCACCATTCCTTAGGAGTTCTGCAGCATTAATGTGGCACGGTAGCATTACGAGCTTGGTGAAGACAAGAGGGTGTCATATTTTGTGTATCCCTCACAATGCCCAACATAGATCTAAGTACCATCAGTTTTTTGACAATTTTGAAAAAGTATTTTCCTAATGAAGGAAAGTGGTTAATAGGAGCATTAAATACTGGAAGGGATGAGGACAGGAAGGAATGAGGAGAGGAATTGTGTGCATGCATTTCATTCCTTTGGACCTAAAATTTAAAAAAAAAGGTTAAAAATAGCAGAGAGAATCTTATAAGCAGCAAGAGAGAAGTGACTCACCACATACAAAGTATTCTCCATAAGATTAATAGCTGATTCTCATCAGAAACTATGGAGGCCAGAAGGCACGAGGTTGATGTATTCAAAGTGCTGACTGAAAAAGACTCAACCAAGAATTCTATATCTAGTCAAACTATCCTTCAGAAATGAAGAAGAAATTAAGATATTCCCAGACAAATAAAAACTGAGAGAGAGTTTGTCATTAGCAGATCTGCTCTATAAGAAATACTAAGGGGATGAGTCCTCAGGCTGACATGAAAGGAAACTAGAGGCTTAAATCCACATAAAGAAATAAAAAGCAATGCTAAATGTAACTGCATAGGTAAGTACAAATGACAGTATCAATGGTTTTTTGTTTATAATTCTTTTTTCTCTTATCTCACTTAAACTATAGCTGCATAAAGCAATAATTGTAAGTCTATATTAAAGGGCATATAATGTATAAGAAGTAATTTGTGTGACAACAATAGAACAAAGGAAAGGGAAAGGAACTAAGCTATATAGCAGCAAGGTTTTTGTATACTATGGAAATTAAGTTGGTATTTTTTTAATTGAGATGTAATTGACATATAACATTATATTAGTATCAGATGTACAACATAATGATTTGATATTTGTATATATTGTGAGATGACAACCACAGTAAGTCTAGTTAACATCCATCACCACACATAGTTACAAAATTTTTTTCTAGTGATGAGAAATTTTAAGATCTATTCTCTTAGCAACTTTCAAATATGCAATACAGTATAGTCACCATGCTGTACATTACATCCCCATGACTTATTTCTTTTATAACTGGAAGTTGTACCTTTTGAGCCCCTTCACTCATTTCCCCTACCCTGCACCCCCCGCCTCTGGCAACCACCAATCTGTTCTTTGTATCTATAAATTCAGTTCTTTTTTTCTTTAGATTCCACATCTAAGTGAGATCATACGGTATTTGTCCTTCTCTGTCTGACTTATTTCACTTAGCATAATGCCTTCAAGGTCCATCCATGTTGTCACAAATGGCAAGATTTCCTTCTTTTTACGGCTGAATAATATTCCATTGAATATATATATACCACACTTTCTTTATCCATTCATACATCAATGGATACTGTGTTGCTTCCATGTCTTGGCTATTGTAAATAATGCTGCAATGAACATGAGGGTGCATATATCTTTTTGAGTTAGTTTTTTCGTTTCCTTTGGATAAAAACCCAAAAGTGGAATTGCTGGATCATACGGTAGTTCTATTTTTAATTTTTAGAGGAAGCTTCATTTGTTTTCCTAGTGGCTACACCAATTTACATTCCCACCAACAGTATACAAGGATCCCCTTTTCTCCACATATTTGCCAATACTTGTTATTTCTTGTTTCTTTGATAATAACCATTCTAATAGGGGTGAAGCGATACCTTATTGTAGTTTTGATTTGCATATTCCCTGATGATTAGTGATGTTGAGCACCTTTTCATGTACCTTTTGGCCATCTGTGTGTCTTCTTTGGAAAAATGTCTGTTCCGATTCTGTGCCCATTTTTTAATAGAATTGTTTGTTGTTTTGCTATTGAGTTGTACAAGTTCTTTATATATTTTGGAAATTAACCCCTTTTCAGATATATGATTTGCGAATATTTTCTCCCATTCAGTAAGTTGTCTTTTCATTTTGTTGATAATTTCCTTTGCTGTGCATAAGCTTTTTAGTTTGATGCAGTCCCACTTGTTTATTTTTGCTTTTATTAACTTTGCTTTTGGTGTCAAATCCAAAAAATCATCACCAAGACCAACGTCAAGAAGCTTACTGCCTATGTTTTCTTCTAGGAAGTTAGTATTAATATGAACTAGACTGCTATAAATTAGGATGCCAATTGTAATCTCCAAGACAATCACTGAGAAAATATCAAAAAAAATAGTAAAATAAGCAACAAAGGAATTAAAATGATAGAGTAGAAAATATCTTTTTAACTCAAAAGGGCAATAATAGAGGAATAGAGAAACAAAAAAATGTAAGACATAGAAAACAGCAGACATAAATCCTACCCTATCAGTATTTATTAAATGTGAATGGATTAAACCCTGCAATCAAAGGCAGAACTTAGCAGAATGAATTTTTAGAAACATGATCCAACTATGTGCTGTCTACAAGAAACAGACTCTGGATTCAAAGACATGAATAGGTTTAAAATAAAAAGATGGAAAAAAGATATACCATGTCAACAGCAACAATGAGAGAGCTGAAGGAGCTATACCAATATCAGACAAAATAAACTTTTAGACAAAATTTGTTACTAGAGACAAAGAAGAACATTTTATAATGATAAAAGCATCAATGCATTAGGAAGACATAACAATTATAAATATATGTGCACCTTACAACAGAGCAAAAACTGACAAAACTGAAAGGAGAAATAGACAATTCAACAATAACAGTGGGAGACTTCAATACCCTACTTTCAATAATGGATAGAACAACTAGGCAGGAGAACAATAAGGAAATAAAAGACTTGAACAACACTACCAACTTGACCTAACAGATATCTATAGAACACACCATGCAACAGCAGCAAAATATGTGTTCTTCTCAAGTGCTCATGCAACATTGTCTGAGAAAGACCATATATTAGACCATAACAACCATATAGACCATAAATCAAGGCTCCGTACATTTAAAAGGATTGAAATCATACAAGGTATGTTCTCCAACCACAATGGAATGAAATTAAAAATCAATAACAATAGGAAATTTGGAAAATTTACAAATATGTGAAATTAAACAACACACTCCCAAAGTAGCCAATGAGTCAAAGAAGAAATGACAAAGGAAATGAGAAAAAATATTTTGAGATGAAAACACAGCATACCAAAACTTACAGGATGCATCTAGTGCAGCACTTAGGTGGCTAGTTATAACCATAAATGCCTGTATTAAAAAAGAATATCTCTAATAAATAATCTTATCTTCCATTTTAAGAAACTACAAAACGAAGAGCAAACTAAACCTAAAGCAAGCACAAGGAAGAAAATAATAAAGACTGTAGTGGAAATAAATGAAATAGAGAATAGAAAAACAATAGAGAAAAGCAACCAAACCAAAAGTTGGTTCTTTGAAAAGATCAACAAGATTGATCAGAAAAAGCATCTGACAAAATCCAACTGCATGTGAATGGAATGTTTATATTTCCCCCAAGTTCATATGTTGATGGTGTGAGGAACAGGGGCCTTAGGTTACGAGGGTGGAACCCTCATAAATGAGATTATTGCTCTTATAAGAAGAGACATGAGAGAGCTTGCTTCTTCTCTCCTCTCTCTACTCTCTGCTATATGAGGGCACAGCAAGAAGAGAGCCATCCAAAAATCAGGAAGAGGTCTCTCACTAGAATCCAGCCACACTGGCACCCTGCTCTCAGACTTCCCAGCCTCTAGAACTGAGAGAAATAAATGTTTGTTGTTTAAGCCACCTGGTCTATGGTAATCTGTTATAACAGCCCAAACTGACAAAGTCACCAACACCCTTTCATGATAAAAACACTCGACCAAATAAGAATAAAAGAGAACCTCCTCAACCCAATAAAGACCATCTGTGAAAATCCTACGGCTAATATTATACTTAATGGGGAAAGACTGAATGCTTCCCTCTAATATTAGGAACAAGACAAGGATATCCACTCTTACCACTTCTATTCAACATTGTACTTGAGGATATAGCCAGGGTAATTAGGCAAGCAAAATAAATAAATGATATTCACACTGAAAAAGAGGAAGTAACACTATTTGCATTTGCAGATGACATAGTCTTGTATATAGAAAATCTTAAGGAACACACACACACTACTAGAACTGATAAATGAGTTCAGCAAGTTTACAGGGTACAAGATCAATATACAAAAATCAACTGTATTTCTATACACTTAACAATGAGCAATCTAAAAATGAAATTAGGGAAACAACTCTATTTACCATAGCATCAAAAAGAGTAAAATACTTAGGAATAAATTTAGCAAAATAAATGTAAGACTTGTACACTGAAAACTATAAAAGATTATTCAAAGAATTAAGGAAGATCTAAATAAACAGAAAGATATCCCATGATAGTGAATCAGAAGACTTCATATTGTTAAGATAGAAATACTCCCCCCAACTGATCAACAGATTCAATGCAATTCCTATCAAAATCCCAGCTGTCCTTTTTTTGTGGAAAATGAAAAGCTGATGCTAAAATTCATATGGAAATGCAAGCGACCTAGAATAGCCTAAATAATCTTGAAAAAGAATAACAAAGTTGAAGGGCTTACACTTCCTTACATACAAAGCTACAGTTATCAAGACAGTGTGGTATTGGAATGAGGACTGACATATGTCAGTGGAATTGAGAACCAAGAGTCCAGAAATAAATCCTTACATTTATGGTCAACAGATTTTTGACAAGGGTGCCAAGACAATTCAATGGGGGAAAGAATAGTCTTCTTAACAAACAGTGCAGGGATAACTAGATAACCATGTGCAAAAGAATGAATTTGGACCCTACCTCACACTATATAAAAAAACTAACTCAAAACGGATCAAAGATCTAATGTGTAAGAGATATATATGAGATAAAACTATAAAACTCTTAGAAGAAAACTTAGAAATAATCTTCATGGCTTTGATTTGGCAATGGATTCTTAGATATGACACTAAAAGCACAAGCAACAATAAAAATCTAAACTGGACTTCATCAAAATTAAAAACTTTTGTGTTTTAATGGAAACCATGGTGAAAGTGAAAAGACAATCCACACAATGGGAGAAAATATTTGCAAATTATATATCTGATAAAAGACTTGTATCCAGAATATATAAAGAACTCTCACCACTCAACTACTTTCCCCTGGTCCATGTGGCCTATGAACGGGATTGGGGCTCTTGGGAATATTTGAAGCAGTGGTTTCCAAACTCCAGTGCACCCAAGAATAGGGCTGCCAGATTTAGCAAGTAAAACACAGAATGTTCAGCCAAATTTAAATTTTAGATAAACAGTGAATAATTGTTAGTATAAGTAAGCCCCATGCAATGTGTAGGACAAATTTAACTGGGGGTCCTGTATTTTATGTGGCAACCTGACCCAAGAATCACCTTGAGGCTTTTTAAATGCAGATTCTTGGCCCCAGCCCTAGAGATCATGATTCAGGAGCTCTGGGATGGGACTCAGGAAGCTGCCCTCTTAACCAGCCCCTGGGCACTCTGACATGGGTATCCAGGCCACACTTTGAGAAACATTGATGAGATTCTCTAAAGGAATCATAAGAACTTCCACACCAGCTTCTAGCCATACTCCTTAGAGCCATTCATATTCTCAACTAACACATAACATGGAACTGCAGGTTTTGTAAAACTTTATGCCTTGAAATAGAGTGTCAAATAAAAGGGCAAAGCAAAACAAAACAAGAACAACAGCAATAACAAAAACCCTTGAAAGAATCCAACCAGGTACCCTGTGTGACTTTCCTGCCATATTCCCGGGAAAAGCAATCAGCCCAGGCAGACCATGGCCAGCATCTTATACAACAGAATACACAGACCGTCATGCATTTTTTCCATCTATTTTCTTCAGGTTGCCCAAGTTTAGACACTTTGCTCTAAATCAGGCTCTGAATGCTACTCTGTACACATTCTTTCCAACACACTACAGAAAGCTGGAAACCACCATAACCACTGTGAGAACTCCCAGAGACAGGGGAAAATCACTTCCAGTGTGAGCCTTATAATGAAGACCAGAGATCACTGGATGACGAGTGGATTTCGGGCCTGCTCTACGTGGTGAAATTAACTTGTATGCTACTATAAGTCATAAAGTTTCTCCCAAAATAAGTACAAGTAGCCATTGTAAAAACATGTCTATCTTCCAATGACTGCAGATTCCTCCCACCCAGGACTAATCCTCAGAGAGGGCACATCCCCACTCCAACCACATCTTCAAGGGGTCAAGGAAAAACCCAACTCACTTTCCATCCACAGCCTCGACAATCTTGACCTCAATCTCCTGCTCGTACAGGGTGCGTAACATCCGGTCCCGTCTGTCCTTTCTGCGCTTGAGGTTTATCATGAAAATCTAACGCAGGAAGAAAAAAGGAAAAAAAACACAGATGATTCAAGTCTTATTTTAGGCTGTTTGAAAAGTTAAGTAAATGTAAGGACCCAAGTTTTAGTTGGAATAAGGAGTGGAAAAGATAGGGAAAACTGTGGTGAAGATTTGTTTATATTTCATATCAGGCCGAATGATATTCATCCAAACAGAATTAGTTTCAAAACTGAGCCATTTGCAGTGACTTAACTCTCTCTTTGTTTCTCTGATGCTTGTTGATGGACGTGTTTGCCCTGCTCTTGAGATAGAAAAGTTCAAAAAGTTACCCTTCAAGAGGCCAAAGGTGAATTAAACCTCAAACATATGAGACTAAGGGGTAGGAGGCAGTTTGGCAAGTGGTTAGATTTATCAGCAGACCTAAGTTTATGTCCTGACTGTTATTTACTAAGTGTTTGCCTTTGACCAGTTCCTATGCCTCAGTTTCCTCATCTGTAAAACTGGGATAAGACTGGGCCTATCTCATGGGTACCAAATATTAGCTGTTACTATAATTTATAGCCATTGTAGATAAATTTAAAGTCATTTAAAGAATAAGAAAAATCTAGTCTTAACACATTCCTTTATTTTCAAAGGTTCCAAATTGAATTATCAGGGTCTCAATTTTAGTACTTCTTTGCCAGAATTCTTCAACTCCCTTAGAGACAATGGAATTTTTCTGAAAGAAGTAAAGAGAAGGGGCCCTGTCCTTGGGGGTAGCCCTTTGAGGAAGGGAGAAATGGAAAGGCACAATTTCCACATCATGTGGATCTGAACGAAACCCTACCAAAAATGTGCATTCAGATTTCTCCCCATGAGGGCTGGGTCCATCTGCAGTCCCTCACCTCATCCCCTAAATTCCTGATGGCTGCACTAAACACATACATATCACGAGGCCACTACGGTGAGTTATAGATAATGACGCTGTCCTGACTATTCCCAGATTTAAGGGGACCCAGAAGTACCTAAAGCCTCATGAATGCTATTACAGGTAAATACGTGTTTTAATAAGGTCCTTTTGCTACGAGCAATAATAAACTCACTTTGAACATGAAACTAGTTTTCCAAGAGAGGGAGACTTCAGCTGCCAGCAAGAAATGTTGATGACACATAGATGGAAAAGGAGAAACCTACAGGAATAAGTCGGATGACGTTGGCTTCATCCTGACGTACCACCTAGATGACTTTGAGGAAGACACAATGTTTCAGGGTCCGGTTATCTCGTTTGTAAAAAGAGGAGTTGAACAACCTCATCTCTCAAGTCCAGTACAGATTAAAACATCTATGCTATGTGGTTTAGCATTAAGTTTGCTTCACGCTCTGTCCAGAATAAAGAAACTATGTCTTATAACCAGCCTGGAGTTTAGACTTTACTGGGGACTAAGTTTTGGTTCGCATGGTCATTCTGAATGTAATCATCAATATTTTATATGTTTTACTGGATCAAAAGCTACACTAACTAAAATTTCAACCCTTCCTTAAAAAATATTTTCACTTTATAATATCCACTTTATAAATATCCATTTATAAAGCTCTGGGCAAAGAAACTGATGGGGGAGCAAGAAGTCCTCTTTGAAGAAACCATCCAACTGATTTAGGGCAAAGTGGATTAGGTGCATCATGATTTCATTACCTCCTTTTTTTACCTAACTGGGTAATTATTTTTTTTTTAAACATAATTTCTGTGGTGACTCTATTTGCACTGTCACTTGGGACTTTATAACTTACTGGGATGTGGCTTTTTACACTTCATTTTTTTCGTGTTTAGAATCCTACTGTGATGGGCCATGTTTCATGCCCAAATTTTATAGATCTGGAAAGGAAAGGGCATTTCCTCATGTGGACACATGGAGCTACCTGAGGTCACTCCAGGAGAGCAAAAACAAAACAAAACAAAAAATTAACAGAAATACAACAAAAAAATTCCCCTCAAAGCAGAGACCTCTGAGAAGACTTTAGTAAATAATAACCCAGTCCCAGTTCCTGCCAGGACAAGTGCAATAAAAACTGTAGCCATGAAGGAAAACACAGATGGCTTGCTCATACTTGGTGAATAGTATACAGAGAAAGAACCACACAGCCAATGCAGCCCAGACACTACCACCAAGGTCACAGAGTACTGGGAAGGTTGAAAAGGCCTCCGAAAATCGTTTTTTCCACCATCCTATCTCTGTTTCAGACAGAGAGATGATTATCCAGGCTCAGAGGAGTAGAGTCCCTTTCCCTGCGTCACTTCCTAGAGTTGGCATTTTCCAGAAGGCTTCTAGGTGTGACCCAGTCCTTACTCACATCCAAACGGAAGACCAGAGCTAGAAGATTCTGGCTTTGTCCCATTTTATTTGCTTTGGTGTGGTCCTCATAGAAACATGTTTATAGAAGGAAAAATGAATACATGTAAAGACACTTGGGTTCTTGTGTCTAGAGAACTGAGAGTTGATGAGAGCTGCAGAGAAAGGAAAGCTACAGTCATACATGGAAGCTGGTCCAGTGCATGGAGTGGGCCAATCTTACCTGCAGCCTTGATCATTTTTAAAAACGATTTACACTTTAGTCTAATCCCTCTCTACCACATTTAAAATCATCTTTTCTCATTCTGCCCTCTCTGGAAATAGCTTAACAGTTACTAACTCTTTTCCATTTAATAGTCATGAAATACTCCTTCCCATTCCTGAAGTCCAGCTCCAAATCAATTTTACAGAAGAAATCCCAATTCCCAGTCCCAGCAGCTCGTTAAGATGGCCGTACTTTCGGGACATGTATTATACGGTACAGGGCAATAGACAAGGCATTTTCTTTCAATGCAGCAATGGCAGTGAGCACAGGGCACAAACCTTGGTCTATGACATATACAGAATCCATGGAAAAAATCTATTTCAGTTTGTGGATTCCTGAGGCACTGTCCCGGCCTCTAGACCACCCAACTCCTGAGTACTGATCAGCAGCTACATGACATTGAGGGACTCATGAAGTATTCAGTGACCTGGAATCACAATTCTGGCCCTGCCAAGTATCTGTTGTGTATATTACTGAGAGGCATCTCTTTATATTTCTGCTTCATTCTTTATACTACTGAAACTTAATAATGTATATGGCCCTCAGAGAGCTATTATGAAGTTCTTGCCTACTGAAAGGCAGAATTTTAGAATAGGTTTCTTTCTTCTCCTCTTTGTCTTCTCAAACCTGCCCTCCAACCTTTTTCCACGGAAAAAAAGCAGAGAGAAAACAAAGCACAGAGTGTTCCGGAATGGTTTCCACCCACTCAGAATAAAGTTAAAGTCCTCTAATACCTAAAGCGTATCTCTTCTTTACCCTTGAATCTTGATGAAAACGTTGATGAAATATGACAGTATCTACTCCTAGAATATACCAAATTCACTTTCACGACTAAACAGCAACTTCTTTCTGACGCAATGATCAATTCACTTTTACCATGATGCTCCTTTTTTAAGATAAGAAAACCGAGGCACAACAAAAACTTGGGAAAAACACTTGTCCCAAGACCTCAAATCCTTTTCAGCCACCAAGCCAGTCTTGCTGGCTCTCAGACGTATGCTCAGGCTTGTGTTCCCATAAAAACATATAAGCATGCTGCAGGCGAGCATGTGCACACACACACACAGACACCTTTCCTACCTCATCAAATCCCATCTTGTCTGGATATTTAGGGACAACTGAGACAAACTGGGAAGGTTCCATTGGAGGACCGTCAACTGGAAGACACAAGAAACACGCAGAGTGCTTTGTTAGTGGAAGAGTCAGAGAACAGAATTCCATCCACACACCTGATCTCTAGGAACACAACCTGGATGTCCAGAGCAGGGGATAAGTGCTCAGCAGTTCTCCAGGACTGAGTGGCTACACAAGAACCCTGATGGTCAGGGCGCTGGTTTTGAGAGCACTTCTTTACGTGCAGATTGCAGTATTTGCTTCATTTCCCTTATGACCAATTTTAAGAGTATTTGGGAGGTAGTTTAGGGTAATGGTTAAGGGCCCAGGGGTCTGGAGTCAGATGATCTGAGTCCACACTTTGGTCTGTGACAGTCTGGAACAGTTAGGTGACCTCTCTAAGCCTGTTTCTGTGTGTGTAAAATCAAGATAATAAAAGTGTATCTCTTATTAAATTTATATAAAATTTAAATGAGACCTCCAAGCAAAGCACTCATGAAAATTAACCTAGTAAATGCTCAATAACTCTTAGCTATTACTTCCTGTGGCTCATGATGAAAGAGCTCAGAAATAGGCTAGACCTTTTCCAAATAATGTTTTTTTCTATACATTTAAAATTGTCAAAGTCTCGCCCTATTCTTATCCCATCCAAGCAGGTTTACCTAAAGGACACAAAAGGTTCTTTTTTTAACGTGAACTCACCTCTGAGGGCCAGCCCACATCCCAGAACTTGGTACAGGGCTAACAGGGAAGTTTCCAGATGAGAGGGACTTTGCATCTTAGTAATAAAAGCTTTATTTATTTGAGACTCCAAAAAAGCTTTCTTTACAAACTACTATGTATTTTTAAAAGTTTAAAGCAATGTTGATTAAGGAACCTGAGAAAGTCTTGAAGATTTTTGATATTGCACAAATTCAAAGTACTCATTTGGTTTTCCTTAAAGGTATAATACAAAGAAAATTTAAAATGGGAGCCAGTAACTGGGTTGTTTGTATCCGTGATGGCCATTACTACTGTTCACCCATATCCATTCTCCTCTATCCCAGGTATATGAGAGGAATACTCTCTTGCCCTTGAAGTTAATCATGGCCAAGTGATTTGCTGGGGAAGGTTGAACTTGCTGCCACTCAACTCTCCAAACCCTTCTTCCACTCCCACCCCAACACCACCACAATGATCATAGTAGCATATATTGATATGTAAAAGCCACAAATTTGAAGCAGCCTAGAATGGTGCGCTAACATAAGGAGGGCAGCTGCCCAGAAAAGACGCCAGGACCACTGCACACTTTGCATAGCAAGAAATAAGCCATTGCGGTATTAAGCCAATGAGATTTTGGCACTGTTTGATATTCCATCATAACTTTGCCTGTACTGACTAAAATACTGCCCCTTCAACTGGGATATTAAAGAGAAAACATGACATCTTGGTTTCACTTATGATCAAATAATGTAAAATTTTAGAAGGTAGTGAGACAGGTTTCCAAACACAAGAGTTGGTCTCATTACTTCAACCCCTGACCCTTACAGTCACACTTCTGTGAACACACAGTGCATGTGTAGTCTGTTTCCACCAGCAGCCCAGAATATTTTGGTCCTTTCTGTTCTACCCCATTCCTCATTAATTTCTTTTAAAATCAACAAATATTGATTGAGGGTCCACCACATACAGGGTTGGGTTTTCAAGAGAAAGAAACTTAACATAGAAACTCCTTCCTGTTCATAGTCTTGTTTGAAGAGCTGTCTAGCTCTCCCTCCATGGGAGGGGGTATATTTTGAGTTACCCTTTCCAGGCTGTTGGTCTCTGGCACTCACAAGGCCTGTGTGGCTTTAACATTTCAGCCACAGAGACTGTTTTTAGCCATGCTGCTTCCATCAATCATAGGCAGTCATTGTGTTCACAGGACAAGTGTCCCAAAAAAGCCACAAGTGTCTGGTTCCTGAAAGCGACCATTGAGCAAAAATGTGAGAAGTGTACCTGAGTTTTGCCACTGAAGGCACAGCTAAGCCATAGGGCAAAACAGGAAATGATTACAATGAATCAGACCTAAGAAACTTACTATGGAGGGAGAAGGGATGTATCTTTGCTGACATCAGACTCGAAGGTTACGTATATCCCAGCTTCTGTTTGGGGTCATTTCTGACTCCATCATTCATAATTTATCCAGTCCCTCATTAAATCCCTCCCTATACCTAGTCTCTCCCTGTACACTACTTGGGACAATGTGATTCATTGGCTCCTGGATAGTTTCAAGATGTAGGAAGAACAATAATAGCTATTGTGGTAGAGATCTTATTACTCACTGAACTCTGGGCTATACACTTGATATACGTAATCACATTTATTTGATCTTCACCACATGAACTGTAGGATAGGTATGAGTGTTCCTATTTTTACAGATAAGAAAACAAAGGCTTAAACAACTTGCCCAAGATCACAGAGTTGATAGATCTGGTATTTGAACCTAGGTCTGATTTCTGCATCCAAACCCTTAACCCCACACTACTCTGGCCCAAAGCTAATCCTTGGTAGCCATGGCCTCAAGTTGGCCTTGGGCAACTAGGCTGGGTTCACAGTAACTCAGTTAGCTAAGTCCTTGCCCCTGAGTGACCATCACTTGTTGTTCTTTCTGTGGTCTACATTGGAGCACACACCATCCAGTGTACAATGCATCAGCCCAGTCACGCCTGGAAAAGTATTTGAGAGATTGTGCTTGGACCAAATCCTAACACTTCTCTACAGTTTTTCTTGAACTTCTTCCATTGCTGCAGCCACCACTAGCTCAGGTCCTCATGCACCATGCCTGGGCTGTTTTAATCTTTTTCAAACACTTGTGTGCTCTTAGTCTTGCCTCATTCTAACTCATTATGCACACTTTTGTCAAAATAATCTTCCTCAAGCACAGTTCTGTTCTCACCATAACAGTTGTGCTCAACAATTAAGTGCTCTACAATTTGTTCAGTTCTTTCATATTCACTACATCATTTAATCTTCACTTTTTGGTGGGGGAGGAGTAGTGGTTTGTTTTTACAGATGAAGAAATTAAGACCAACCCAGATGTGGACTTGCCCAAAGTCAAACAGTGACTGATTGGTGGAGCTGGAACTCAGTTTTAGACCTTCTCACTTCAGATCCAATATTCTTAATAATCTCTACACGATGTTCTGTTGTTGAGAACTGGCACATAAGATTTCCCATCACCTCGTGCTCTGATTTGCAAGACCAATTTCCTCATGCCTCATAACACATTTACTTTTATCACCTTTACAAGAGCTAGCCTCCTGTCATTCATCCGCCAAAGGAAGCACATTCTCAGATTTTCTGTACAGTTCCTAATGCACTAAATGAGTAAGTACATGCAGAGTGATGGGCACAGTGCTTTTAATAAATGTTAGCCATTATTGTTACATACCATCTCCTCCAGCCCCAACTCTTTCACTCTGATCTCTGAAACTCCAGTCTGCAATTCATAAACTCCCCGATATTTTCAGTCCCTCCACTTTTTCTGAATATCTCTTTGCCTTTTTGTTTTAACTAAAACGTGGCTTTCCTTTGGGGACACTGCCTCCCTTTCAGCTGTCAGAGTGGAAGCTGATTTTTCTCATATCCTCCAACTCACTCCAAACCGTTTGTCTTTCATCCTTCAAAACCCCCAGCTTCTTTGAAACATATTTTAGCACCTCTCTACCTTCTAATCATGCCCCCTCAGCCATTGATGACCCCAGTTTCTGGCTCACAGTCTCACCGTCCCTGCCATCATTCTTAGAAACCGCAGCATCCACATGGTGATCCATTCAATGACCTGGCTTCTAGGTCCTTGACCTTGGCACAAACAATCATTCTTTCAGTGACCCACCACCACGTCTGTATCCATCACACCCTTCAGGTCCCCACTTTCATTGGTACCAAACCTAGATTTCATGGTCTGGCACTCTAACCATCCCTTGTAAAGGTTCTTAGTTACCTTCCATTGATCTGGCTTGGTAAAACCCCAATCCTGGTTAGACCCAATTGTCCACTTACTTAGTGCCAAGAAGAATACCACAAGAGAAATTCACACAATTGTGTTGACTGAGTCACTTCAAAATTACAACTACAGATGTCAAATTGGCACTGGATACTGCCAAATGATGCAATTATCCTTCCATAGTAAATTTACTTTCTCACTCTCTGAGAGATCTATTTTACGCCTTGTTTTCCCTCCTGCAATCTCCAACATCTCTCTTGAGCTGATGACTAGACTACATATGTCATAGAGAAAATAGTCAAAGTCAAATTAGACCTACCTTTTCCCATACAGGTCAAGTCCACAAAGCCAGCTACATCTATACCTATACATTCTGCCTTGCCATCTGCTAGAGTGAAAGAGGCAGCCCTGTTCCTATCTAGGACAACCTCTCCAATACTGTCCTGGGTTACAACACCTCTTGTTTTCTCAAGGACTTCAGTCTTACAATTATCTTCTTCTTTTCTACATCATCAAGTTCTCCTTATATATTGGATCCTTCCCATCAGCATACAAACATGCTAAAATCCTATCTTGAAAAACAGACAACACAAAAAACAAAACAACCACTCCCTTGATCTCTCATTCTCTTACAGCCACCATCTTATCTCCTATTCCTCATCCCAACAAGATTCCACTTTCTCATCTCCCATTGTCCTCTCTTTGGCCCACTCCAATGGGCTGAAGTGGCTCTTATCAGCGTCATCACAGGTCTCTATTTTGACAGAACCAATGGTCAATTCCCTATCCTCATTTTATTTGATTTCTCAGCAGCATCTGGCTCCTTCTTGAGACACTTCTCAATTTTTCCTTCCAGCTTTCTGGCTGTTCACCGCCCCCAGGGGTCTGTCCTCCTCCCTCTCCTCTTCTCTATGTTCTTTTACTAAACAAGTTCACACTGTTCCATGGCTTCAAACATCCTTTTAACGCTGATGACTCTCAAATGTCTGTCTCCAGCTGAAGTCTCTTCCTTGAACTCCAGACTCGTGTATCCAAATATCTCCTAACCTCTCCACTCAGATGTCTAATGAATATCTTAAGCTTACAGAATCAAAACTTCCCTCCCGAAATCTTTTCCCATGAAGCTAACCATTTCATTAAATAGCATACCAGGCCAAAATCCTGAAGTCATCCTTGATTCCTTTCTTTCCTTCATGGGCTGCATCCAGGTCTCTGTAAGTCCTGTTGGCTCTACCACCAAAATATATCTTAAATGCACCTGCTTCTCCTCACCTACCTGCTACAGGTTGCATCCCAACCACCATCATCTCTCACCAAGAGAGATGTACTGGTCCCCCTACACTCTGGTACCCACACCACAGCCTGAATGATCTTTCTAAATGCATAAATTACATCATGCCACTCCTAGAAGAAAATCCAAAGTCTTTACTTTGGCCACAAGGCTCTGTGTGACCTGGACACTTCTTCCTCCATGACCTCACCTCCTTCTACTCAATTCCTCATTCTGTGTACTACACCCACACTGGCCTTTTGTTGGAGCACCCCAAGCTCTTTCCTAACAGCCTTTGCATGTGCTGTTCTTTCTGCTTGAAACACTCTTCCCCCAAATATTCTTGTGGCTGCTTCCTTGATATACTGTATATCTCTCTGTGTTGGAATATAAATTCCTTGATGGCAGAGCTTCTGCCAGTTTTGTTCACTGCTGTATCCCCAGCATCTCAAACAATCCATGGAACACAGTAAGTGTTTAATAAATACTCAGAGCCTGACTCTTCTTTTTGCTTTGTTTTTGCTGAGGAAGATTCACCCTGAGCTAACATCCGCTGCCAATCTTCCTCTTTTTTTTTTTTGATATGTGAGCCGCCACCACAGCATGGCCACTGACAGACGAGTGGTATAGGTCTGCACGTGGGAACTGAACCTGGGCCATGGAAGTGAAGCACACCAAACTTAACCACTAGGCCACTGGGGCTGGCCCCTGACTCTCTCTTCTAAAACCTTCCTGGCTCCTTACTGCTTTTAGGATTGGCATTCTGCTTTAGCTGGGCATTCAAGGACCACAACAATTAAGCTACCCCAACTCACAAACTTGATTTCCTTCTACTGTTTAAAGCCAACTCTCTTCTAGGGTGAGAATGCTTTTTGAACAATGTCTTTGCTCAGTCTGTTTCCTCTGCCTATAGTGCCCTCACCATATCACTCCTTTTATTTAAACTCCACACTTCTATCAAAGCCCAGCTTAAGAACCATCAGGACTTGAAGATCTCCTAGATCACACCAACCCACAGCAATCTCTCCCTATTCCAAATTCCTATTGCCCTTATATCTGCTCCTTTTACAAAGCACTATACTGCATCATCAGGGTCTTTTTTTATGCCTGTCCTGTCTCTACAGTTAAATATAAACACCTGAAACAGAGAATTGGTTATAAAATGTCTTGAATCCCCAGTACCCTCACAGAGTGACTCATACATTGTAGGTAGGCATTCAGTGTTTGCACATGAATATAATGCCTGTTCTAATGCTTCAACAGGGATAGTCTATTAGCAGCCATTTATTCACTGCCCTTTGGGTTCCAGATGCTGTGCAAAGTGCTTTTAACATCTTGTTCATCTCTCCTGAGGACATTTGACAGATATGATTTCATCATCACCAGCCTTTTATTAATCTTACATGGGCCTCTAGTCTATATTTCTACATTATTATCCTCAAAGGTTCATTTTCCAATTATTTTCTTATTCCAATTATGTTCTGTTTTTTAAAATTAATAATCTAAAATTCTAACAAAATTATAACTGGAGAAGGTAAATACAAGAATTAAATTAAATGCCATATATAAAGTGCCTGGCACTAGAGTTGGTATGTTTTGGGAGATCAGTAATAACAGCTATAAATTACAGGTTTTTCTAAAATGAGTTCTACCTGCCTAGCATGGTGCTGTGCATTCGTAATGTGTAATCATTAATTTTTATTGACAATGCGTGAGCCTCTGTACAGAGAACTTTCTATGCTCTCAGTTCTACGGGTGTAAGCAAGAGAAGACAGGGCTCTGGCCAGCCCTCTCCAAGCTGACATCTACTTGGAACCAAGATTGACCCCAGACAGGGATGATAAGGGACAGCACATCACCAAGTGCTAAATGGAATCCTAATAATAGCAATCATTCATTAGTTCATGGAGTTGATGTACATTATTTTATTTGCTCTTCCCAACCCAGCAGAGTCAGTGTTATTATCCTCATTCCACTGATAAAGGAACTAAAGCTCTGAGAGGTTGATTCTCCCTTCATAAGTGACAGAGCCTGGGTTCAAGTCCATTATTCTGGTTTCAAGTTCAGTGCTCTTTGCAATACAGTTTTCATTCATTTACTCATTCATTCATTCACTTGTCTAGACCTGCATTCAACAAATATTTGGTACCAACTACATGTCATGCACTGTGCTAGGTGTCTGGGATAAAAGGTAAAAGGATACTGCCCTTGTCTTCTGGGGTCTAGAACCCAGAGAAGAGGCAGAAACAGTATGTATTAAAGAAATTCACAAAAGAAATTCCTAAGGGCTGGTTCAAGAAACACTGTCATAGTGCACCAGCTGCCTAGTCAATCCTCGTTTCCCCCTATAACTACTGCTTTTTTTTTCATTATCCCTATCATTCTCTATACACTCAGAGAACAATAGTGATCTCTTGTTTCTTTTCTCAAAGCCAGGGACACTGAGATGAGGAAAGAACAAATGACTTGCAAACAATTACGCACATCAGCATGCAAAGGGTGTAATGGCGGGAGTGCTTCTCTCTTCATCCCAAGCATAGTCTGTGGATGTACTTTGCTCAGCACCACAGATGTGTCCTGATATTGAACTGACTGCTGTTTTACAAACAGAATCTTGTGTAAATACAGTAGGAGAGCTTGTTGTTTAAAGGAATCTTCTGAGGAATCTTTTTAATTATTACTGTCTTTCTTACCTTCTGGTCCCAAACATGTTTCTTAAAAGAAAACTCTCTGCTGTCTCTCTATTTCCTTGCTTCTTAATTACTTCTCAAACACTTTGAACTCTGATTCAGCCTTTTCTGAAACCATTCTTGTTATGGGCATTAGCTGAAAAAATCCACTGGACTCTTTTTTCAGTCCTTATCTTGAACTGCCTTCCACATTTCATGCTCCTGTTTTCTTGAAATTCAGTGATATCACATTATCTTGTTGATGAATCCTAATTCAACATCTTTAGGCTTGATAACACTTAAGTTCCAGATTCATCTCTCCATCTACTCACTGGGCATCTCCACCTGAACTCACTTATTCATTCATTCAGTTATTCAACAAGTACTTATTGGGTGCTAGGCAATGGGCTATGTCTTGAGACTAACATGATGAACAAGGAATTTATTGCCTGGGGGTGAGGAACAGGAAATAGATATACACAGGCAACTCAGTGGGTCTAAAAATGAAATCATGATCTTTCTTTGCAAAGGTCTCCTTTATTCTACATGTTCTATACCATTGAAAATTCCTACAGTCATCCCAGACACTCAAGTCAGAACTAAGAAGTTTTTCTCTGCCTCTCTTTTGCTCATCGACAAACTCTTGGTTAAGTCCCTTCAAGTTTTATGTCATAAGTTTCTCTTAATCTGTTCCTTCCTCTCCATTCCCACTGCTTCTTCCCTAGCTCAGATCCTCATCATCTTTTGCCTAGTTTACCATGTAATGTCCCAAATGGTCTCTTCACCTCTGGCCTAAGATCAGCATCCACTGCCTGACCCTGCTCCAGCCATACTTCTTTTACTGCAAGAGTGACTTTTCTAAATCTAGATTCCAACCTGACATTTCTCTGCTAAAATCCCTTTAAAAACCCCCTTCAGAAAAAGTTCAAACACCGTCTTGTATGTTAGAGCTCCTTCTGGCTGGGCTCCTGCCCACTTTCCAGCCTCACTTCCTGCTGTGCCTCCCCAAACACCCCCACTGCCCACATACGCACATCCTATGCTCTAGCGATGAATAACAGAATTTCTCAGATGCTGTGTGCAAATTCAGGGCAAAGATTCCCTCCTTTGGGAAAACCATTTCCAACACCCTCCCCTAGGCAGGGTGGATCCATTACTTTATCCTTTAGCCACCTCTGCACATTATACATAATAATTAGTGTAGCTACTGATTATTGAGCATTTACCAATTCTGACATCATGGTAGATCCAGAGGCAGTAACAATACATGAGCAACGGCATGAGCTTTGGAGACAGCGATATTGGTTCAAATCCCAATCTTTAGCAGAATGATCTAGGGCAAGTTACTTGAGCTCGCTATACCTCAATTTCTTCATCCTTAATATGAGGATAATAAAACCCCTTTCATTGACTTGTAAAGATTAATGACACAATGTACAAAAAATGCTCAGCATGGCATCTGTTACGTCATAAACTATTATTAAGCTAAAGTCATAATTATGTTGTTGTTATTAGACTTTATATATAGCGTGGAAAATTCGCCCAAAAAGCCTAGAAGTTTTCGTTATCTCTATTTCACAACTAAGGAGGTTAGATTACTTGCCTAAGTCATATAATTAGAAAGCAGCAAAGTTAGAGTTTAAATCCACACCACAAAACACCATTATAGCCCTTATGACATTGTGTGAAATGCATTTACTGTGTACCCAGCTCTCCACCTGGACAGGAAACTCCCTGAGGGCAAAGACTTTGTCATATAGGAAAAGTTTAAGAATGAGTGAACAAATGAATAGCTATGTTTCAGCCAAGGCGGACTGATGGCTGTGAGATTCCAGCCCTGGGAGAGGGGAGAAGTGGCTGGTATGGTCACGGTGGCAATGGAACATGAGCCATCCCCCAGGCCCCTGGGTCACTCACTCATTGCTTCTATCTGCACATGGATGAGGTTCTCGATGTCCTCCTCCAGGGTCTGCTGGGGCTTCAAGGGGATGGGCAGGTAGCCATAGTGTTCTCTGTTGCAGAGGTACATCTGGATGCCTGAGTACCCAAGAGAGAGACAAAACCAACCAATCAGAAAACACACTTCTTAGCTCTATAGTGACAACTCGGGAGACAGAGACTGGACTGTGGCTGAAGTTGTTTGGCACTGAAATCGAACAAGTAGCTGTTTCAAGCACTGTCTGTAGACCTCAAAAATGCTCCTTGATTAAGAAAGTGTAACACAGCATCGGGGGCTAATAAAAACTCTGGGCCATTCTTCGGCTCAGAGGAAATTGATTTTTTTCTCTCTGAAGAAAAAGCATACTCATGGCCTGAAATGAACACTAAAGGCATGAAAGGATCAAAAAGAAGGCAAAGAACTCCCATTCCAGAGAACAGAATGGAACACTGTAATCCATCTACAGGAAATAAAGAGAAAATGAGGAATAAAATCCACATTTGCTCTGAAAGCAAACAGGAAAATCCTGTAAGGCTGACAAATTATTAAAGCTAAATCTAGGCATATGAAGAAGAAAAAATAAAAAACAAAGGAAATTTAAAATTCTCCATGATTCTCCTTGGTTTTATTTCTTCTATTAGCAGGCATGGATTTAGAATCAACCAACAGACGTGGAACTTCTATAATAGATTTGTAAAGGGACAAAAGAAAGTCTGCATTTCAAGTCCTGTGAAGAACCTGCAATATGACAATACCACAAATATGCCACAGCCCTCTTGTACTCGACACTGCTCTTCACGGCCCCAGCTGGCTAACTTTGAGAGTTAGACAACATTCGTGTTCACCCAGATATCTAGGAATATGGGAATCAAGATGGTCTCACATAGACCCAGCAACTGACAGTCCTGACTAATGAAAAGATTCCTTAGTTAAAAGGACGAGTCTGCCAAGCTCTGGTCCATGTGTCCAAGCTTCTGGTTTGTTCATTGCTATAGTCATCTATGCTTTCCAGAGGAGAATTATCTGCATAGTGACTTCTCTATTTTGTGCAGATGAAATTTCCTCCAGCCAGCTGCATCACCTGCCAAGTCAGGTGAAGCTGTCTCATGGCATTAACAGAGAAGAACGCGGAAAGAAAAGAGCTTTTATCCTCCTCTTTACAGAATCGGGCTCGAACCATGGCTGGTCCAGCAAGCACTGTCACTTCTCTTGCCTTCACCAAGCAAACTCACTAGTTCTGCTGTTTGCCCACATGAATGCTTCCGGGTAACTTCAAACCAAAATGTACCCTCTTGTAAAGTCATGATGAATTCAGGAAGTGGAAGGAAAATGAGTTAATATTTAGGTTACCTCTCTACATTACTTAGGTAAATTATTTTACCATTCAACTTTCCAAAGCTACAGTAAAAATGGGAGATGAGACCCAGCCAAGCTATCCATCAAGTGTGAGAGGACAAGAAAGGCATTTTTCAGACATGCAAGGTCATAAATATTTACTTTCCATCACACTTTCTCAGAAAGTTACTGGATGATGTGAAAGAAGATGGAGAAGGACGAGGAGTAAGGGGAAGGAAAAGAGGAGGAGGAGGATTACAAAAAACCTGGGAAGACTTGGGACATAGTGAACAGGCGAGTCAATGCAGATGGGAAGAAAAGGGAGTCCAGGTTGATAGCTGTGGCACCACTCAGCTCAGAGGATATCAGAAGGCTCCAGAAGAGACATCTTCACAAACACACCAAAAGAACATCTGATAAATCTGACCATTCTAAGAGGAGTTTTAGACAATTAGGGATTAGTTTTGAATTGTGTTAGTAATAATAAATGAAGCAAAAAAAAAAGGCAATTGGTAAGTTAGATATAAAGGGAAAACTAATCATAGTCTATCAATGGTTCAGTTTAGGATTAGGTTCACATGATTATAAGAACAAAAACACTGACCATCAATCTATCTTAAATAACCATGTAACTACAGTCACGTGTCGCTTAACAACGGGCATACTTTCAGAGAAATGTGTCGTTAGCGCTTTCATCATTGTGTGAAAGTCACAGAGTGTACTTACACAAACCTAGATGGAATAGCCTACTAAACACCTAGGCTAGATGGTACTAGTCTACGGGACCACTGTGGTATACGTGGTCCACTACTGACTGCAATGTCGTTATGTGGCTTATGACTGTATGTTGAGAGGACAGGGTGACGGGAAGAATGTGTTTGCGTGGAGGGGGCAAAGGGAGGAGAGGGAGTTAATGCCTCCTCTTCTGCAGTGGAGAGTCAACAGATAATGCCTAAAGTAAAACCAGAAAATCAAGAAGTAGCAATACAAGCATGTTATTTAGAAACATGGATGTGAATATTATACTGGTATTATCATCTGGAGGAATTAAAAGTGTTTATCTTCTAGAAGAGGGAAATGGTACAGGGGGTGATGTGCAGGGGACTTATATCTTTATAATAAAACTTGGGGGACTATTTGAACTCTTTCAACTATGTGCATGGATAATTTGATAAAAATTTTAAAAGGAAATGTGTTGATAATTAGATAATGTCTATGGAATCTGGTACTCTCAGTAAAAGTGACTTCTGGGGAAAACAATTTTCTCTTTGAAATGATACTATACCTTGAAGGCCTGTACTTCTCTAATGAAGATATGAAACATTTTCTTGTAGTCACATAGTACCTTAACATTGCAGATTGATATACTTATCTTTACGCTTGGTGATGAACAATCAGACTCAGAAAGGCTATGGACTGTCCAAAGTCATACAGTAAGTCATTAGTATCAAACCACTGGCCCAAAAGAGCCAATGCCGAGTATCTTTCTACCCACCCCGGATTCGGAAGCCATGTTTCAGAACCAGTAATCACTCTGGATTGCCATCCCTCACGTGGGAGGCACGTTTGATCACTACCAATGCTGAGCAGGAGGCAGATCTGCCTACCCATCACCCACAACTCTTGCCTCTTTTGACTCACAGCAGACATTTGGAAGGTGACTGGGTGGCGGCAGAGATGGTTCCTGTGGCCATGATACAGAACTCAGATTACTGGCCACAACTAGACATGGACTCCTGACCCTGGCCTCATTATAGCCCACAGAGACTTGCCTATGACCTCTGAGCTGTTTTCTTGGGCTAGATGGGCAGCCATGCCCCAGCACACCAGGGCACTTGGATTGGCCCCTCACTCATCACCCACATGTGGAATGACTAGAGTCTGAGGCAAAAGGTTAAGGATCAAGGTTTGTGGTTAGACGGTCCTGCCTGGGACTTGCAGACCCTTTATTTCCTTCTGGACGTTTGAAAAATGAAGCTCCAATGGATGATACAGCTATGGAGCAGCTAGGGAGCTTCACAAGAGTGAGGACAAAAAAATACAAATCATCTTTCATCAAGACTCTTTCAAGACAGAGGGGAAGTGCTTTGCTTTGGACCTAAGAAGGGAAGAGCCAAGAAACACTCCATGGGCTGCACAGGATTCCAGGTTCGTTCATGTCTCTCCTGAATACTTCAAGTCAAGTAAAAGTGCTACCTTAGAACCACATGACTGTCAGGAAAGCTTTTTCATTCCCCCAAAGGCCAGTCATTCTTTCCTGTCTTGACCTTGACCTGTTCAGTGTACCACTGATCTGACCCTCAGCTTTCACTGTTTCCTAACTATTACTTATGTTTCCACATGTAAAGATCTCATCTCGCCAACTAACATAGAGCCTAACACAATGCTGGGCACAAAAGTAAAGCCTAGAGCATTGATCCTCTCTCTTCCTTTTCTACCTCTCCTCTCTCCAACGTAATCATCAAACGGCTTTGAGCCTCTACACCTGCTTTCACTGTCCCGGGAAGGCCTATGGGAAGTCTGACCAATCAAGAACAAAGTTCGAGTGAACAGGCCAAGCAAAGGCCAGAGCTGAAAAATTCCTACCCAGCCTGTGTCACTCTTCCAACCCAAAATCTAGTTGTTGGTTTATAAAAATATATCATAGTAATTTAGTGCCTGGGTCACAATAATGCCTTGTGCAATGGCTATAAAGGAGGACTCTGTTAGGCAAGAGTCATTATTGTAATTGTTAATAGCTCACTTTCTTGGAACATCCTTACTTCAAGCTCTGAAGCAAAGAGACTGGCACAACTTGAAGGAATGAGAAGGCCCTGAGTCTGCTTCCCATCCTGGGGAAGTCAGAGCAAATCACAGACCAAGTTGAAAGAAGCAGTTTCCACTAACGTTGACCAAAGAACCTTCATGAAAACTTCCAATCCACATGAGGATAAGAACCTTGCTTTTGCCCTGACACAGGCCTAAAAAATGCCTAAGCCTGGCCAAAGGGTCTAAATTGCTCTAGCAGCCAGGGAAAAAAGTCAGCTTCCACATTTTCACTGAATATTCTCATTCCTACCAAATCTGCAACTGGACACCTATGGCTTCAAGCATGGCCTGATATGTGAGTTATAGATTGAATTGGTATTAACATTGTCATCTGCCAGCAACCTGCCTCAAATGCATGGGGTCTTTGCATAATCCCATATACCCTAATTTATATGGCAACAGTGAGTTTATTCACTATCTTCTTGGTTTCTAAATTCACTTTTGCTAGTGGTTAAGTGGCACATTTCTGGCTCATTGATAGTGGGACCTCACTTCTGTCAGGAAGGTCTGAATGATCCTGAGAATAAAGCTTTGCTTTAGGAATGTCGTGTATCTTCCTGTTGAACTGCTTTAGTGAATTACATCCTCCTTGACTGCATGTGCAGGGTGACACAGAGAAATAACAGCTTCTTACTGACTTGTCTTCCTTAAAAAGCCTACAGATCCCACAGGAAAAGCTTTCCTGGGGGTTCACAAAAGACTTAAGTCTGGTTTTGCCTTTCCTTCCACGGGGACTGTGGCAGAGAGTGCTGGTTGCCTCCCCTAATCTGTCCTCTCCTCCTTCTAGAGTGAGAGAACTGGGGCTCTAGATTGCATAGTATAAAGACGACATTCTGAGCCTCTTTTACAGCTAGGTGTTGTCCTGTGACTAAGTTCTGGCTAATGGAATATGCACAGAGGTGATGTGTTCAACTTCTGGATTGTACTCTTAAAGGGAAGAAGAGTGCTCTCTCCTCTCTGGCTTTCACTTGGTGGCTAGAATGCATCCATACTGATGAGACTTCTTGGACGATACAATTAAGGACAACACCGCATGGAGAATGGAGAAGCAATAGAGAAGGAGCCTGTGTCTCTCAAACTTTGTGGAACAGAGCCACTATACCAGCTCAGGCTTTTTTGACAAGAAATCAACCTCCAAGTTTTAAGTCTGGGGCCTTAGCCAGTGTTGTTTTGGGCTTCTGTCACTAATTAATAAGGACTCCTATAATGAACAAAGCAATGCAGCAGCACCACAGAGAACCAATCATCTGCCTATGGCTCCCACCATCACCATTGCCCCGGAACCACTCAAAAGAAAAAGAGAGTGGATTCCTGGGTATGGGCCTGTCCTGGCTCTTGGTCATTGATGCTCACAGGTACAGCAACACAGAGGGTGCTGGTGTGGTTACTGTAGACAATTAATTGCCACTGAACAGGAAACCCATTCCCTTATACAGGAGTGTTTTTTAATAAGATGCACAAAACAAAAGAGCTGGTCATTTGCAATGTTTTGTGGTGGCATTACAACTGAATACAAACAGTACCTGCTTGCCTGCTGGAGAAGGCAAAGACAATGATGTCATCAAAGGTCCAGGTGTAGTCCTGGTGCGGGGGGTAGAACATCAGCTTGTCAGAGGCTTCCTTCCTGAGGTCAATTAGGAATGTGGAGTGGACCATGGGGACAGGAAAGCAGCCTATCCTCTTCCATTCTCTAATCTGAAGGTAGTCTGGTGTCCGTTTATAGAAGCCCTGTAAAAGAGGAAATCAGTGGGCTGTGTTCTCTGATCTGAGGGCTTCATTTTTCCCGCTTTTCTGCTAGGCTGATTCCTTCTAAGTCATCACCAGTTAAATCGAAGCCCCTAAACAAAGTCCCCTTCACCCTTCTTCTCTTGACCTAAGAATTTCCAAGTGAGCTCAAGAAATGCCACCTACGTGTAAAACAATACTAAAAGGGTCTTGATGTCAGAAATATTTTGGTTTCAGAATATCTCTTGATTTAATAATTTAATGAAAGTATATTTTATGTTGACTTATGATTGAATACGAGGTATGAGTATTCAGAGGTGGTAGAGCAGAGCAGTTAAGAGCACAGGTTCTGGTATTAGGCTGCCTGAGTTCAAATCTCACCTCAGCTTCTAACAGTCTGTAGATATTGGTCAGGTTACTCAACCTTGCTCTGCCTAGTTCCTCATCTGTAAAACAGGAATGATGGCACTATCTACTCCATGGGTCGGTCTGTAAAAACTAAGTAAGGCAAAACCTGAAAAGTGCTTAGAATGGTGCCTAGCACCAAGAAAGCATCAATAAATGTTGGCTATTATTAAAATTACTACATTACATTGGCTAATATTTTCAACTAAACAGACAGTACTTAAATATACAAATTGGCTCTTCTTTCAATGCAGTTACTTATTCAATATTCTGGTGGAGCTGCTACTGTGCGATACTTTTGGAGGATTCCCCTTTTGAAACTTCCTTCTGGGCAAGCACACAGAACACCCAATCCCCTTCCTTTGTGGTTTTGAATACCTTGGTTTGGAACAATCCAACTTGTTTTCCCTCTAAACTCAACCATTCATTCAACAAACACCTACCGAGTGCCTATACTCCAGGCACTGGGTTAGATGCTGGAGACTTAGCAGGAAAGACACAGCCCCTGTCCTAGCCCTCATGGGCTAGACTTAGTATAGAGTCTAGTAGAGGAGCTCATACTCCAGTGGCACCAATTGTAACTTGACTATTGCCAATGCTCAAACCCATTCCAGAAAAGATGAGTGGGTATCTCAACAAAACACACTTAAAAGTATGTGGAAGCTTTGAAGGCATTTCCAAAAATGTTCTAGGTGACGGCAGGCTCATAGAATGATGGTAAAGTTTCACAAGGCCGGTGCAGCATGCTGAAGGGCACAATACTTGTTGCACGCATAAGTTAAAGTGTGTTCACTCATCAGTCACATTGCCTTATGGTCACATTTTCTGTTGTGATGTCAGTGCCCACAGAGTCGGCACTGCAGCCTCTTCTACTTCTCTGACTTTCCTTTCAGTGTCTAGACTAGCGTTCTAGCTGAGCTAACCCTAACACTGACCATGTGATAAGGCAGAAGGATGGCAAATTAAGACTTAGAAGATGTGAGTCTTAGAGTCATTTTAACCATCTTCTAGCTCTGATTTTAGCCCATGCTTAACCTCGTTGAGCCTGAGTTTCTTCTCCCGAAAAATGGGATAATAGCTGATTTGTCTGTCTCACAGGGTTGTAGAATGGATCACGTGTGATCAGGTCTATGAAGATACTTTGAAAACTGTAATGCATCATATGAAGTATTATTACTACCATAATTTTGATTAGCCTTTAACTTAAGGATCACTTAACATCCTTAATTTAACATCTCCTAATTTAACAATGAGGAGAACATGAGTTCTAACACTTCGGCTTCAGAGCGTTCTTCCAAAGGATGAAGGGAACACTGGTTCTTTGAAGGACTGCCCAAGAATGCATGACAAATATAAAGTTCTAGACTACTGAGGAACAATATTCTCAGAATGGGAAGCTTGGAAAATTCATGACAATGATGAATCACTGAATATCCTGGAGGTGGCGGGGTAGGAAGCAAAGAAAGAAAGAGAGAAAGAGAATTAATATGCCTCCTGCAGACAGGTGGAGGCAACAGATGTGTCTCTTTTTCCACACAAATTGAATGTTGTTGGTGATAATCCCCGTTCACTGGCCAGACAACAGCACCGGGTCATTTTGTTTTGGTTGTCCTTAAAGGCTCTGGAAACCAGGGCCTGCCTTAAGCTTATGAAGTCACTGGCTGTTTCTGTTCCCGTCTTAGCAGAAGCATGACTGGAGGTGGTAGAAAGCCAAAAACAGATGGAGAAAACTTAGAATTGGCTCTAAGTTGCTCAGATTTTACTTTTACTTTGCAAAATAAGTGAGCACAGTTCTCTTGTTGGCTTTTAATGATTAAAGCAAATAAAGAAATAATAGAAACCCGTAGGCTGCAGTCACTACGATAATCCACCCTCGTTGCTGGTGTCAATGCATAACTCATTAAAAACAATCCTCGAGTGATTCTGCCACGTGAAACACTGCACATTATTAACTGAGAGTGTATGAATTTAAATGAAACTAATATAACGTTTTCTCCTCAAGAAAGTGAATGGCTTTTATAAATATGAACGTAATGCTTCCATAAAGAGATGTGGAGGATAATATGCATTCAAAATCTCTTGGAACTGTGGAAAATAATCATAACAAAAGAGGAATGCTTCATGCAGTCGTGTGCTAGAGCCACTGATGGTTAAACTTTCAGGAATTTTGCAAGCCAGCTGGCATGTTGGTAGCTTAAAATCTGTAAAAGCAAAAATCACGTTAATCCCCACCATTCTAACACCACCACAGATAGCAGCTTTGCATAGTTTTAATAATTATATCATCAAGTGGCCATACGGCAATCTACTTAACCTTTCTCTTAGCCTAAACATCATTTAAGTTGTATGCATGGTGGGAGCACTTACAACATGAAAACTGGTGAATACTATCAATTAGGATATTTCCCCCACAGAGAACCAGTTATTAAACACTTATCAGCACACCGCTGGCCTCATTCTTCATCCCAAATCAAACCAAATATAAAAGAAGGACCCAAAACTTAGCTCTTTGGGTGTGAGAACACATTTAACATACATTTTTAGCACGTCTTTATCTTACATTGATAAATGCTAAATTTATCAGTTTAATTTATCTCTCTAATTCATTAACTAAAGAATAAAAAATATAACCAGCCATAAGCATTCACTGTAATAGACGTCTAGACTTTGAAGACTACAACGGAAAAGAGAGATGATGGAAATGAAAAATTTTGTTTTTAACTTGAATTTTGTAAAAACAAGCTACCATAGCAGTTCTAATTATTAGATCTCTTTGGAAATAAACTTGGCAACACAAATCAAAGGTCATCAAAATATTTATACTCTTTGACTGAGTAATTCCACTTCTAAGGAGCTATTCTAAGGAAATAATAATAAATACAGAAAAATTTTTATTAATCATGATGGTTGTTATAATAGTCAAAAGTTGCAAACAACTTAAGTGTTTTTAAACTAACAGAAAGGTTAAGTAAATTGCATTATAGCCACTTGATGATATAGTTACTAAAAACATGCAAGCTATTATCTATGAAGTTAGAGTGGTGAGGATTAACATACTTTTTTTTTTCACATTTTTCCATTTCCAAATTTTTCCGTAGTATTCTTATGTTAGTTTTAATGACAAAAAAAACTATTCAAATTTTTTTTTAATCTCTGAATCAGGGAGCAAAAAGGTACAAATCCTAGCAAGCTTTACCGGTTAATTTAAAGCTTCTAAGGCTAAGTTCATTAGAATATTCTCTTCATAATTCATTAATACAGAGAAGCTCACTGGGTTGCAACATTGGACCTGGATTTACCTCCTTTCCTGAAAATGCTTGCTCTGGTAACACAACGACATGCATGTTTCAAGGGAGGAAATGAGAAAAAGGTTAACGGGGCTACTGTTGACACACAGCTGCCTTGTTAAAACTCATACCTTCATTCATTAGCCAAAGACTTGCCTGAGGTGTAATTCCGCACCAGAAATTAGAGTACAGGCCTCGAGACTCCAGCATTGGGGCCACAATGGTCTTGTTTTCTGCAATCATTAGATTGAGGGTCTGTGGATTAGTCAGGAAGTTGTCAACATCTATGAACTAGGAAAAGAAAAGGATAATGTCAGGTGAAAAGATCCTTTTCAGCAATGGGTTCAAGAGTAACCCAGCACTTTCAAAGGATCACAGAAACTTGCTCATGAGATATGGAACCAGTTATCTATCTTCTCCTTATGGAAACCCATTGCAGCTGGATGGCTTTCATTCAGGCAAAATATGTTTAGTCTAACTTCCACATGTTCACTCTGCATAAGGCACCAAGTAATGAATTGGTGTTACCACACTGAGCGCACACTCAACTAGGCCCAACCTACACCTGGGTTAGTGGCTTTAAGTACAAGGTATTAACGGCTCCTAAGCCCTTAGAGGTTCATTCAAAGACACTTATTGAGTGACCACTCTAGGTATAAGTGCACAGACCTATTTAGGTTACCCACAGTAATGCCAAAATGGCCCAACACAGATCCATCAATGCTATTTGAATATTACAAGTAGAATTTTAGTTTAAAGTACATTATATCAACCCATGCTAATCAATGAAGCCATTCCCGATTCTTAGCAGAAGTCCGTGTTAACACTGATTCATTTACAGGGACAGTATACCAACATGTTCTATCATATAAAATAAATAATCACACTGAACTGCACACTTAAAAATGACTAAAATGGTAGATTTTATGTTATATATATTTTACCACACACACAAAAAATAACCAGAAGCTTTCAGTCTTACGATAGCCAATCTGTTTACCAAAAATTTTGTAGTTCACCATTTGTACACTTCAATGACATTTAAACAGCTATACAATGTTAAATATCATCAGTACAATTTGAAAACTTCTATGAAATTATTTGTATTGCAAGTGTGTGTGTGATAAATTATTGGGCTGATTTTTGTTGTGGCTGAGGGGCTGGGGGATGGACATCAGTCAAAAGTATTCCCTTTAGGAATCAGCCTAGTGACAGAGAGCAGATGTCAGTAAGTTTAATGAAACAATACTGGATTTGCTTTTTTGGTGTTATTTCTAGTGTTATACTGAAAAACATTTGCCAAAAGAATTAAATGGATTTGGGCAGCCACAGATGAAGAACTTGGTTCCCATAAACTTGCAGGGAAAAAAGCCTCCTGTCAATTTTCAAAAGGGAAATGGGGACTGTAAGTCCTTCCTGCTTAGGAAGCTGTCCTTTCCAATTGAGACAGGGTCCTGGAGGACAAGGATGGAATACACTATTGATCCTAATCATCAAGCCCAACATTTTTCTAGACCACTCTCAAAGCTCTAAGGAAAGCGATGGAACATCTTCATGGAAAGAAACCCTCCACAAGAGCCCACCGTAATTAGGAACAACCAGAAGCCAAGCAAGAGATGTTTTTCCCCAAATCACTCAGGAGCCAAAGGGAGTGGAGTTTTAGAGCTGTTAATCTGAACCTCTTTTTATATAATTAATTTCTCATATCTGCAAAATTCTTCTATAAAGTTCTTCAGAAAATTTATGTTGCTTTACCTACAGTGTTCTCCATGAACTAAAAAGATTCAGAGTTTCTCATGCCTGTTACATGAAAGAGACCAAATAATTCAGGAGCTTATTCACTTACTCACTGAAAGTGCATGTCAGGAGTGGGTCTGAGATGAAATCCAAGTATCCCAATATTAAGTTCTCCAAATTCTCCCCTGCACATTTATTAAAAAGTTGGGGAGGTGGTACCTAAACAAAAGGTTGTTTTGATTGCTCCCACAGTCCTAGGTTTTAGGTAATTAATTTGGACACATTCTAGATAACAGCTGTCAAGAAGTCAAACATCTGTTTTTACCAGAATGTAGTCTGACCATTTTTCCCTCGCAGTTCGAAGGGCTGCCTGTCGTAGTTTCATCACGTGGGCAAAACGAGAGCTGGGCCAGTGCTTTGGTCCAATTTCATCAGGATAAGATCTAAAATAATAGTAACAATAATAATAACATAATTATTGAGTACTTTTATTTCCAGGCACCATGTACTAACTCATTTAATCTTCCAGTACCCTAGGAAATAGATAATGTTATTGTTATCAACATCCCCATATACAGATAAGGAACCTGGAGCAAGGAGAGATTAAGTAATTTGCTGCTTACCGTACACAAGAATCTTTATATGAAATATTTCAGTGAGTTCTTATTAAAACTCACTGAGTCCATATGAGGTAAGTACTACCATTCTCTCCATTTTGCAAATGAGAAAATCGGTGTAGAGTGGTAAATTTATTTGCTTAATGTTACACAGTTAATAAGGGGCACAGTTAGGATTTAAAACCAGGCATAACCCCAAAGCTCATGCTCCTAGACACTTTTTTATATATTCTTCCATCAAATAAATTTGGAAATGTTGCAGCATAAAAATATGAGTTTCCCAGGAAAAACAAAGGTTAATTTACTTGGTCAAGTCTCAGTAAAGGATTCCAAACAGCCTAACACATTGATCTATCCCAGGTAGAGTGACATCATGGAGCAGCTGCATAATGTTACTGGGATCTCTATCAACATCCACAAAATAGCCAGGCCAGGACTCTTACATGGCCATGCAGGCAAGCCGGTTGGCACACTCTTGAGAACCCTTCTGAAAGCTCCCACCTGGTATGGACATTGATACTGTCACAGTGGACCCAAACTGGTCACTACTTCCAGTTCTTGTAGTTGTGCTGGCAGTACATTTGCCTCAGTGAATGAAAAACCACAAAAACAATAAGACTTTAATTATACAAATAAGATTAATAGAATTATGTACTGCACAGGAATTCTCTGAGATGTCTTCCCCAATTATTGCTTCAATGAAAATCAGTGAAATTCCTGTTTTTCTGAATATATTGCCAAAAAAAATGCCCTCCCTAATATGGTTCACACTGACCTTGGCACACAATATGTTTGGTCAAAATTGGGCTACAGAGAAAATTACCAGGATGCAAGGTAGGTACGTAAAGTCTTTCTGGGCCATTTTAATTAAGCCAAATTCCACTATAAGAAACTCAAAGAGTGCTAAAAATCTTTTAATGTGTTCAAATTTTGTCATTAAATTTTGCTCGATATGTGGACCATATGCTGGGATTTGAGATATAAATCCATGATATAATGAAATGGTATAATGAAAGTATTCTATATAGAGAGACTAAAAGAACAAAAATTTGTTCTGGAATGGCATTTATTATTATTATAATACAAGTTTGGCTTTCAATAAATGAATTATCTTGGGCAGAAATTCAGGCAACTCAATTCACCCTACTTTTACAATTCCTTAAGCTGGAATGTAGTAGCCTTGGGAATGTTTACAATAGTAAGTTTTAAATATATTCATTCATGTTGTCATTCACTCGTTTGTTCATCCAACAAGTATTAATTTAGTGCCTGCCAAGAACACAGCATTGGAGGGAAATATAAACTATTTATGTACTCTAACCTCTGCCAAAGAACCTAAAAATAACTTAGAAAGAAATGCATAAATTGCATTGTTAATTAACAATGTTAGTTAAGTGTATCATGTCAAAAAGGATGATGTACGAAATAAGCATTACAAGTGTTGAGAGAAAGGCAGCTCTTTGTAAGTGGAATGATTAGGAACAGCTTTCTGTAGTAGGTGGGATTTGGGATAAGAGTTGGTTACAAAGAATGAAAGGGCCTTCCCAGAGAGCAGACCTGCAGGAGCAATGGCTTGAGGTTGAAAATAAAAGGAACATTCTGGATTAATCAGGTTTTTGGGTGGAAGAAGCAGGAAATATGGGTGCATAGGTATGGGTGCTAAGTTTATGGAATCTTTCAAAAATATAAGTCTGAGGTGTTTGAACTTTGTTTTGCAGGTATTGAAGAGCCACTGGAGTCCTTTTAAAAGAAAAATTAAACCATGTCATTAGTATTTTAGATAGATTGATCTGACAGTATGGTATGTAGGATGACTTGAAGATGGAACCAACTAAGAAATTTCTATGGTTAAGATTGGAAATAACCTAAATGTCCATCAGTAGGAGACTGATTAATTATGGAACATCCATACAGTGGATAGTCTATAGTGGTAAAAATAATGAAGAAGCAAGAGTGATGTCAGCAACATGGCGGAGTGAGCTGTTCTCTGTGTCTCTCCTTTGAACTGCAACTAAAAGGACATTCATGGATCAGTGGAGGATACCCACACAGCACACCAGGAAGCCTGAGAGACCCGAGCAGCTGTATATCTGAAGGTGGATGGACTACTCACCCGGAGGAGGTGGTGGAGATAGGTGAGCACCCTCTGGACCCCAGGGAGCCCAGTGCACATATGCGACTACTTTCCCGGCTGGAGTGATCATAGCATTGCTGGAGCCCCAAGGGTGGGAGCATGCCTCAGCATGACTGTGGAAACAGGTGACAGCAGCCCTGAGCCCCCTGGGTGATCACTTCCCCATCTATCGGGGGAGCCCTCAGGGCCACACAGCCCACAGAGAGCGGCCCGGGCTTGGCCACAGTGGGGAAGCCCTGCCCACTAAGCACAAAGGCTGGTGCTACCTAGGAGCAGAGGGCAGCTGAGCTGCTGCTCAGGCAAACAAGCTCCCAGCTGCCGTGAACACCCATAGTACTGCTGCGGCCCCAAAGTGGGGGAGCATGTCTCAGTGGGACTGTGAGAGCAGGCGGCAGTGGCCCCGAGCTCCTGTGTAATCACTCTTTCATCTAGTGGGAGAAACTATAACCCCACCATGGTCCCAGGGAGTGGCTTTGGCTCGGTCCCAGAAGGTAGGTCCTGCCCACCAAGCACAATGGCTGGTGTGACCTAGGAGCAGAGGGCGGCTGAGATCCCAGTCTGGGCGAACAAGCCCCCGGCTGCCGTGAACACCCACAGTACTGCTGCAGCCCCAAAGAGGGGAAGCATGTCTTGGCAGGACTGTGAGAACAGGCGGCAGTAGCCCTGAGTCCCCGTGTGACCACACTCTCATCTAGTGGGAGAATCCACAATCCCACCCGGTCCCAGGGAGTAGCTTTGGCTTGGTCCCGGAGGGAAAGTCCCACCCACCAAGTACAACAGCTGGTGCGACCTAGGAGCAGAGGGGGGCTGAGATCCCAGTCTGGGCAAACAAGCTCCGGGCTGCCCTGAACACCCATAGTACCGCTGTGGCCCAGCAGCAGGGAGCACAACCCCCGGGGTCTGCGGGAGTAGGCGGCACTGGCCCTGAGCCCCCTACATGACTACTTTCCCATTCGGTGGGAGACCCCACAGGGCCACTGCGATCCCAAGGAGTCACCCAGGCTTGGACAGGCACAGCTGACAGGGATCGCAGCAGTGGGCTCAGATTACACAGCTCTTGCCCCCCTTCTCAAGTGGCAGCAGGCAGAAGCTGCACCCAGAAACTATCACTATGCGCTGGCACAAATACAGTCCATCAAATGGTATAAAGAAATTTATTAATACTCCAGACAAGAAGGAAAAAGATAAATACCCAGAAACCAATCCTGAAGGCATGGAAATCTACGATCTAAATGACAAAGAATTCAAGACAGCCATGATAAGAAAACTCAATGAGCTACAAGAGAATTCTGAAAGACAGTTCAATGAAATCAGGAACCAAATTATTCAACAAAGGGAATTCTTCACAAAAGAGATCAAAACTATATAGAAAAACCAAACAGAATTGGTAGAGATGAAAAACACAATGGATGAGATAAAGAAAAATCTGGAGTCCTTAAACAACAGGACTGATAATATGGAGGATAGACTTAACAATCTGGAGGATAGGAACACAGAAATCTTCAGTTGGAGGAGGGAAGAGAACTTAGGCTAAAAAGAAATGAAGAAATTCTCCAAGAAATATCTGATTCAATTAGGAAATGCAACATAAGGATTATAGGTATTTCAGAGGGAGAAGAGAGCGAAAAAGGAGCAGAGAGTTTGTTACAAGAAATAATAACTGAGAACTTCCCAAACCTGGAGGTGGAGCTGGAATTACATGTAAAAGAAGCCAACAGGACTCCTAATTACATCAATGTAAAAAGACCTTCTCCAAGTCATATATTAATAAAGCTGGCAAAAGTCAACAATAAAGAAAAAATATTAAAGGCAGCAAGGCAGAAGAGAATACCCTATAAAGGAAGCCCTATCAGGCTTTCAGTGGATTTTTAAGCAGAAACCTTACAGGCTAGGAGAGAGTGGAATGATATATTCAAAATTTTGAAAGACAAAAATTTTCAGCCAAGAATACTATATCCAGTGAAAATATCCTTCACATATGATGGAGAAATAAACACTTTCCCAGATAAACAAAAGCTGAGGGAGTTCATTGCCTTTGAACTCCCTCTACCAGATTTGATCAAGAAAGCCCTCATACCTGAAAAAGAAAAAGAAAGAAAGGGTTTATAAAGCCTTGAGCAAGCAGCTAAATAGGCAGACAAAATCAGAAATTGCAACTCTCTATCAGAACAGATTAGCAAACAATTATAACTCTAAAGATAAAGGAAAAGAAAACATCAAAAATAAATATTATCAAGCCGGCCCTGTGGCATAGCGGCTAAGTGTGAGTGCTCTGCTGCTGGCGGCCCGGGTTTGGATCCGGGCGTGCACTGACACACTGCTTATCAGGCCATGCTGTGGCAGCGTCCCACATAAAGTGGAGGAAGATAGGCATGGATGTTAGCTCAGGACCAGTCTTCCTCAGCAAAAAGAGGAGGATTGGCATGGATCTTAGCTCAGGGCTGATCTTCCTCACACAAAATAAATAAATAAATAAATAAAAATAAATACTATCGTTTCATTTTAACCACAAATTCACAACACATAATGGAATAAGTTGTGACAACAACTTAGAAGGGGAAGAGGAAAGGGATGAAACCTGCTTAGACTAAGGGAACAAGAAGCTATCAGGAATGGACTATCTCATCTACAGGATCTTTTATACAAATCGCACGGTAACCATTAAACAAATATCAGAACAAAGACACAAATGATAAATAATGAGAAAACCATCATAGAGAGCCACCAAACTGAATTAGCAGTCCAAAATACATGGGATGAGAAACAAGGGAAATACATAACAATTGAAAAATAAGAGATAAAATGGCAGCTTATTAAGCCCTCATATATCAATAATCACTCTAAACATAAATGGATTGAATTCCCCAATCAAAAGACACAGAGTGGCTGGATGGATTAAAAAACAAGACCCAGGGCCGGCCCCGTGGCTTAGCGGTTAAGTGCTCGCGCTCCACTACTGACGGCCCGGGTTCGGATCCCAGGCGCGCGCTGACGCACCGCTTCTCCGGCCATGCTGAGGCCGTGTCCCACATACAGCAACTGGAAGG